TTTTCGCCCCTAATTAATTCTTTCCCCCTCGGCTTCACTTACCTGAAGCTCTTTTTTTTGGTTTTTTTGTGTTTCCCCCCCTTTCTAATTGTATTGACAAGAACGACTGGTGAACAATTACTTTCTCTCGTTAATTCCATTTTCACCCTTTGTGGTTGTCGTAAGTCGCGGACACGACTACGTTGACCAGCGCCAAGCGTGGCGACCGCTTAGTTGGGCTGTGCGACCATTGTACCCTACGGACTGACCTCACTGACCATCATTCTTCTTACTTACACGACTGACTCGACCCAACCACATCCACACTCACCCTTCTCCCATCCTCCCTTCTCTCTTTCCCACTTCGACAAGAGAGAATAGGACGATCAACATCCATTACCGAAGGGAGTCATTGAGGATTTATTCAACCTGGAGTGTCAAGTCCGACCGATCGCCGTTGGTGCTCTTCACCCCCCTACCACACATCACCATGGCCGACAGCATACACCACTCTCAACGGGCGCAAGGCTCTAATAACTTCGATGCCTCCGAGCTCACCAACGCTTTCGAACAACTCATGCGTAATAAAAGGTTCCACCGTCTGCAGGAGCACTCGAGGGCTCGTACTCATTCACCATCGCCGTCTCCGTCTCAGGTGTCTTCGCCTGGACCTTACGCACCACCTCATCCCTCGCGAGCACCACCACCACCTCCTCCGACCGCAGCTTCTTTTCAGTCACCCCAGTACCCACCACAACCGCAACAATACCCATCAACTCAATCCTCAATGTTGCAGGGGCTACCAATTGTTCCATCACCGCCGCAGGATCAAGCATCCTTAAAATTCCGGAATCTCCTCCACGTCCTGTCCGTAACCCCGACCAAGTATGAGAACCCGGGTCTTCTCGATGAGGCCCTCTCCCTTATCCCGCTCGACCGGTTATATTCAGAAGCAGAGGAAGAGAGTCAAATCCTGCAGGCACAGGCTGCTAGCGTTGGTGGCAGACCCGAATGGGGATACCAAGATTGTGTTATCCGGTCTCTCTTGAGGTGCGTTGAGTAGCATATGCCTATTTGTTGGATTCATCATAGGTATGACTTGGAGTATTAACCGCGACTTTCACAGATGGTTCAAAGGATCGTTCTTTCAATTTGTCAACAACCCCCCTTGCTCACGGTGCTTTCGGCCCACAATTGCCCAGGGCAACACGCCACCTTTACCCGATGAGACCGCTCGCGGTGCAACACGAGTAGAACTTTACCGATGCTCTGAACTGTCTTGCGGCGCCCACGAGAGATTCCCTCGCTACTCCGATGTTTGGCAACTACTACAGAGCCGTCGGGGTCGTGTAGGCGAATGGGCCAATTGCTTCAGCATGTTCTGCAGAGCTCTTGGTGGCCGTGTACGATGGGTTTGGAATTCGGAGGACTACGTCTGGACCGAAGTATACTCCGAACATCAGAGGCGCTGGGTGCATGTAGATGCGTGTGAGGGGGCGTGGGATCAGCCCCGTCTCTATGCTGAAGGTTCGTGTTGAACAATTGACTTGCTCGGCTTCCAAACTAACAGTTTTCAGGCTGGGGCCGAAAGATGTCCTACTGCGTTGCATTCTCGATCGATGGCGCCACCGATGTCACTCGTCGATATGTACGAAGTCCAGCAAAGCATGGAGCACCACGGAACCGCGCTCCTGAAGAGGTCGTGCATTGGGTGATTTTGGAAATCCGAAGGAAGCGTCGGGAGAATCTCTCTAAGACCGACCAAAAACGTCTGATAAAGGAGGATGAGCGCGAGGAAAAAGAACTTCGCCATTACACAGCTTCTGCCCTTGCTGCAGAGTTGAACAACCTTCTCCCTCAGAACCAAGCGACCGGCAGACTGGACGAGCAAAAGACTCCTCTCTCACGGCAGGAGGCAGCTGCAGAGTGGCTTGCCTCTAGACAAAGAAGCTCTGGCCACTCTGGTCCTGACCACTCTCAGGGCGGACGGTAGCACTGCATCTATCATAGAGGGTCTACAATCAACTCATCGTCTTGCGAACCGTCGCCTAGGCTCAATCCTCTGACGGCCGTCTGACAACCAACCAACCCAAGATCTTCGACCGATAAGACGATATAACGTGGTCAATGTGCTTCGATGCTCGACTTTCGATAAAACGCACGATACACGATGGATTCAGCTAGCCTGTTATAGGATTTATATTCGACATTACACGTGCACAGCTCATCATAGGGTAGATCATCCCGTGCTAGTTACAGTGCATTGATCCTATGCGTTCCAAAATGAATCGTCTACCGGTCAGACACCCTTCACCCTCCTTCAAGGTGAAAGGGTTTATTTTATCCACAACACCTTGCTAGGACCCTTGTCCAGCATCCCATTGAAACCAAACTCTTTATCTCATGGGCTATACGATTTGTCACCTATAGCCAGACAATCCTTGGTTACAGTACGATATATCTCTTTTGTGGTCATTGACCTACACAATACCCACATCTCAATTTTTCTTTGGTTTATATCCACACATTCTTTGTCGAGCCTCGACTTTCTACTTTTCATCTTTCTTTTTCTTTTCTTTTCTTTTCTTTTTTTATTTCATCATGACGGGCATCTCAGGAAATAAGGCATTAATTGGTTATTTTTTTTTTCTTGGGCACTCAGCAGGGGTTTGAAAGGCGTCTGATAATTTTAATTTCTCTTCTGATTCCCTTTTTTTTTGCTCATTATTTTGGCCGGTGTGCCAAGACTGGAGTCAGCCAGTCAATGCCATGTTGTATGAGAACACGGATGCTTCGGTCGCACGTTGGCTTCGACATCTTTTCAAATTCCCTTTTTGTTCTGACTCCTGGCGATCTCAGATCCTCTTGTCAAATAAACCATTTCATTGACCAACGAAAAACAACGTATCCAATTCCTAGACGGGAATCGAGAACTACCGAAGGTTGAGACCAGTGCATCTTCCTAGTACACACTACACAGCAGTAGTAAGACAAGGGTCCGACACCAACAGGTGATCATGCCGACATTCCGCCGCACAACATTAGGTAAAATTATAATTAAACTAGTAGAAAAAAGAAACAAAGGAAACCGATCCCCACCAACCATTGCAAACCTGCACAATCCAAAACGGATCCCTCATAAAACCTCCCAAGTGTCAAACCGACGATGGAAGCGAAAAAAAAAAAAAAAAAAAAAAAAAAAAAAAAAAAAAAAAAAAAAAAAAAAAAAAGCATTAAATATTAATTTAAAGAAAATGAGAAAAGAGCGCCAAAACACAGAAAAACAGGGTCCAAATAAGCCAGACCCAAGAAAAGCGCAAATCCGAGACAGCCAAAACCACACCAAACGGAGAACCCACTAGACCCTGGGCCCCATTACAAGTTTAATTACGATATGCAGAATCCCAAGCCGTGATCCGTCAAACCCGAACGCCTCCTAATCCCCCGCGATTGAGAGAGCGGGTCCGCGGTCGGTGGCCACGTCGGTCCCTGGACTTAAGGCGCCGGTTTGGCCTATAATAGTACTACGTACTATGTATAGCTATATATAGTAACTGCGATCTGCAACGCGCCGGTCCGTTTTGGGATGTGGTCACCTGAGACTGGCTGGGTTGATTGGGTGTCGGGTCCGAATGTGGATTTTTTTTTTCTTATTTATTTATTTATACATGTATATGTTTGTTTATTTTTTTTTTTTCTTTCTTTCTTTGATGTTGTTATACGGTGCATTCTACTTGGTTGAGTTTAGGATTATTATTATTATTGTAATTAGTTTGTCACCTGATATCTGACTTTTTCTCTTTTACTTTTGGGACAGATGTGAAAACAAGGTATGGGCTGGTTCCTGACTTGGGCGGGAATGGTCTGGGCTGGACTGGATTGGGCTGGGTGGTTCGTTTTCCCTGGGTTGGGGTTGGGTTTTGGGTTGGATAATTCCGGACCACCCTGGGAACGGAACTGAGTTGTAACAGTGGCCAAGGAACTTCCTACTAGTTATGAAATTAATAGGGAACATGAACTAGTTGAACTTGGTGAACGTAAAAGTTATATCAACTACGTATCACTGATCAAGTACTTGTTGGTAATACGTGACTTGGGTTGATGGTATCAACATGGTACACAATCCATTAAGACGAGAAGCTTCCTAATCCGGGAATCAGCCGTCGATCAGCTCTGGGCGCTGGTGCTCGGATGCCCTCGAATTACCTGCATTACATCTGATAACATCCCCCAAACCGGGCGCCACAGAGAACCCCTCCGCCTTGACTCGGCTGCATGAATTAATAGCGGCAAGAAGTCGTCTCATTCCCGGCAATTTAGGCTATTTGCGCCTTCGGGCCAAGAACGGGGCGCACGTGCTTGGACTCCGGGATGGGGTCATCGTGGGCGTATGGTAGCTGGCGGTTGATATATAAAGGTCCTTTCTGCCCCACTACACTGATATTACTCCGGAGTAGACGGCGGAGTAGCCGGGGGTGTTAATTATCGTCTTTTCGAATGTATGATTGTTATGTATCCATCATTAGATCTAGTCCTTACCTGTTTGGGATGATGCCGAACAGTTTGGACGGCTCCTCTGTTTGCGTCGGTATATACTACCAATATGTACGGCTGACCTGCGGTGTATATACCTACTGATTTCGTAGAATGGCCGTGAAGCACCGATCCGGGACCGGTCTTGATGAATCCAACAACTCAGATAAGAATTAAAGGTAGCAGGTACGAGACCGTACGACGGCTCTGGCTTACGCCGCTCGAACCAAACACTCAATACCTTTCTTACGCAGATCGCCATCTACATTCCGGGCCTCCTTGACATAATACGGCTGCTTGGGTAACTGCAGCTTCCACCCTTGCTTTAGGTTCAGATCTCGCAACGGTTCCAGGAAGATAGGGATCTTCTCCACCGGTTCGCAGAACCAGCTGCCGCTCAGCTGGAGCGTGAATGACTGAAGACTCTTCATCCGTGTCAAGGCCTTGCAAGTCTCAACCCACTGCTGCCGGCCAGCGGAGAAGTAGATCGTCTTGACGGGGTCCTTGCTAGGGAGCCAGTGGCCTGGGAAGGCCCAGCGAAGTTCAACTTCGCGGATTGCGTCCCAGAGGTCCGGGGGTATAGTCGGGCGGAGGTAAGTGAGTGACCAAGTATTACTGAATTCGAAGGTATTCATGGTGTAAAGCATATGGATAGATTCGCGATAACTAGAAACACAGTTAATCCCGTGCGATAAGATATCCGTCAAGCTACCGTGGTAGGCACGAGCCAACTTACATCTGCCTGCAGGTCATCGGAAGCCCCAACAGGTTACCGATCATTCGAGCCCTCCCCTTTACCGGCTGCGGCGAATCCCCCCGACAGATGTCGCAGGTACTCGTAAGAGGGCATAACACGTGGCTCATTCGGCGATCGGACCGTTGTACAATATGTATGCGCAATCCACCCAAGACCATCTCCCAGATCATGAGGCGGAGCTCGGGAGATAGCTTTGCCAACAGGTCACTCTGTACCTGTATGGTCCCTTCTGTTGCGGGACCTGACTGTTTCTCAGTTTGGGTTCGACTCGAAATCGCGCTGGCTCTTCTGGATCTGGGCAATGCGGCTGGTTTGTTATCTTCGTAGGTTAGCACGTAATCGTAGCAGTGGCTCTATTGCACCCATCTTCCATTCCATTTGTTGTGAGGTTTGAACCTGTTATATGGCGGAGAGTACGCCCAAGGCTTTGAGGAGTACGCAAGTTCGGCACTTGAGATTGAAGGGGATATGTATATGGAGAGATGAGATATCGCCTACATTGATACCGTTGAGCCAGCACGTCCTCCCAGGAAAACACTCCTTGTTTAATCCTCGCCATCCCGCTGGATATTTGTAGAGATATTCTGAGGAATAATTGGATACCGAGGAATAAGGGATGAGTAGATACGATACGGAAATCCCCCAATGCTGACGACCGCTCACTTGTCTGACGGCATTTTAACAGATCATGGTCTTCACGATATAACCACCAGAAAGTCGATGGAGTAGTAGCTGAGGGTAGAGCACTAGCACAACGAACAGCCAGCTGACCAGTGCAGATCAGACAGTGAAAACGAGGAAATCAATCACGCGAGATAGAACTGTCGGGGTGTATGTGGCTACCGAGTGAGGGGAAATTCGTACCGACAGTAAGCGCGCGGTTTAAAGAAACAAGGCCAAATCGGGGTCGGACACGATATTCATACTATATGGGGAACTCCCAAGCATTCAAAAATCATGGCAGAAATATGAATCATAGCGGAATTGAGACATGCAAATAACAGTACTACTGTACTCACTGGATTTTAACCCTATGAAAAAAAATTTTACTAAGCTAAATCTTCTTAAATCATATCTTTTATCTTAATATAAAGATATATATCGTTCTATTCTTTCTCCACATATTTCTTAAAAATATTACTTGGTATAATCTATTAACCTAGGGAACCAATATTTAATAGTATAATAAAAATAATCCTTTTATAATCTTAAGAAAATTCCCTTTATTAATAACTATACCTTGTTTAGAATAAGTTAGCTTTGTATTATCCTTATAATTTTAACAATCGAAGTTAATTAGTCTAATTTCTTTACTGTAACATCCACGTGTTGAAATTGACAGAGTAGTCCGGGTGGTTTTCGAGCCACTTAAAGAGATCCTGATCCGTCTGCATACCCAAATAGAAGGCCGTCTCATTGGGGTTAGAAGGGTTACGGTAGTTGGTACTGCGCAGGAACTGGGGAAAGGCCAGCATGGAACGGCCTAGGACATCTACTCTGCCCTCCTGTTAGCATTTTTGATGAAAATACACAAAATGAAGGGCGTGGAAGGTGTTCCCACTGCATGTATATCCCAGATCTCCCCATATCTGAAGCGAGGGCATTATTTGTGACGTTGTTGGCAACAAAAGTGTCGGTGCCCAGCTGCGATATCATACCCACAGACTGATAATACCGCAGCAACCTCCCTAATCGACAAACAATAAGTTGTGGTCCACATAGCCAGGAGGATCAGAAAAGCGGCAAATACTTACTCATTAGAACAGGATCAACCTTGGCTTTGATAGCCAGCTCAGCATGTGATGACACACTGTCGCGAATCATCTCAAACAGCCGGAGATTGACGCCTACCTGCGCGAGGCCCACTTACAAAGGCAGCAGGGGATGCTAACATAGCTGTCTAATACATAGTACATGGCCAACTACCTACTGCATATGCTATCCGATGGATACTGTCCACAGGAATCTCCATGGCGAGGCTGAGCCTGCGGCCTGCTTCGCGCAACTGGCATCGCTCCTCATCCGGCAGTTTGGGCTGCGTTTGCAGCACGGCGTCAATCTGCTGGACCAAAATAGCAACATCAGGAGTGGCCATCGTTGCCGATCTAGTATATACAGCGTGCTGAGCTGTCGGCCCGCGGGTTGCTTTTTTTCTTTATTGGGAAATGCGATGCCGCCACAACTACGGCCTGGACGCTACATCACTCGGCCCTACGTTACTCGGGCTCTTGTTACTCAGCCCCAATGGTATGCCAATACAAGACTAGTAGAGCTCAGAACTACCCGGGTTCAAGCCAAGGAACTATATGGCGGCATCCGGATCCTACCTATGGAATTACAGTAAGCCCGGGCTAAATCCGACCCATCCCTGCCTAGTGCCCAATGGCTCTATAATATGGCCGCTGGGTGCCGCTGGATATGAGATGGTCAACTGTGCTTCTTCTTTCAAAGTCCAAACAACGTGAAACCAAGATTAGCACAAACATTATGACTATCTCACGATTCCTCCCCCACACCGGCTTCGGCCTCCTAGGCATGACATGGCGCCCCAAGGTCACTCCTGACGAGCAAGCCTTTGCCGCCATGAAAGCTGCCATCGCGGGTGGCGCCACCATTTGGTCTAGCTCATCCATCTACGGCATGGACCCGGAGCCTCCCACGACTGGGTTGTGGCTGCTGCGCCGATACTTTGAGAAGTATCCCGAAGACGCACCCAAGGTCCAGCTTTTCATTCGCGCCTGTTTCGACCCCGTCAACTTCAAGCCGCAGACAACCCGGGCAGGTGTACGCGCCAGCTACGAAGCGTGCCAGGCCATCCTCGGCGAGTTCAAGAAAATCAACGTCTTTGGCCCTGCCCGCATAGACAAGGAGGTGCCAGTCGAGGAGACCGTGGGCGCCCTAAAGGAACTCGTGGAGGAGGGCAAGATCGATGCCGTAGGTCTGTCAGAAGTCGGTACCAGGACACTTCATCGTGCGGCTGCTGTTTACCAGATTAGCTTTGTTGAGATCGAGTTTTCGCTGTGGAGCACTGATATGCTCACCAATGGCGTGGCGCATGCGTGCAAGCAGCATGGTATTACGATCCTCACGTACGCTCCGCTGGGCTATGGTTTCCTGACAGGACAGGTCACCAAGCTAGAGGATATTCCCAAGGGCGACATGTGGCATATGTTTGGCAGATTCCAGCCAGAGGTATATCGATCTTTTCTATCCCTCAGTTCAGCCTGACATAAAAGAACTAACGAGAGGTAGAACTTTGATAAAAACCTCGAGCTGGTCGATAAGGTTAAGCTTTTTGCCAAAGAGCGTGGCGTCACGCCGGCGCAATTGGCCCTTGCCTGGATCCGCTCGCACTCAAACCAGGGCAACTGTGGCAACATTATTCCCATACCGGGAGCCACGGCTGCTTCGCGAGTGGAAGAAAACTGTAGCATAATAGAGCTGTCGGCAGCACAGAAGGAGGCACTGGACGCCAATTGCGTCGATCGAAATTGTGGGAGATCGTCAGATCGTCGGAATGAGCGATGAGATCCTCTGGACGTAAACGCTACTACATTAGTTGAGTAGCAGACAAATATATTATCTATGAATGGACTTAAACGTGCGGTGAAGCTAGTCACATTGCATCAGATACTCCGTCAACCGATTCAAGGCAAACTTTGATGCTTGGTATGCACTCGCGCCCGGGGTCAAGGCTAGCGACCCAACAGACGACACGTTGACGATTGTCTTGTCTTTACCCACCAGCAATAGGGGAAGCAGGGCTTTTGTAACATTATACCACCCATGAACATTGACCTCCCAAGTTCGCCACCAGTCATCCCCGTCTCCCTCAGCCAAGGGGAGGAACTCGGCTAGATACCCGGCATTGTTAACCAGAATATCCAGCCTCCCGTTCTAGGATGACTCTAGGATCGCGACAGCAGCAGCAACACTGCGTTGATCACACACATCCATCTCGAGCGGAAGCATCTGCAGTGAGGTCGTTAACCCGGCCTGCCGAACAGCTTCAAGAGCCGCATCGCAAACAGCCTGTGCTTCGTCTATCTTTCGAGCGCAGACTGCGATGCGGGACGCCCCGGATTTTGCATATGACACCACAGTGCAGCGTCCCATGCCCTTCCCGGCACCAGTGACGAGGACGGATTTCCCGACGCTGCCCTGGCAGATTACTGGGTTGATGGCGGAGTATGTGTCGTGATGGACTGTTGGGGTAAATGTGGCCCCTACCTGGGGACGGATTGGTGGATATGGCATTGTGAAATATAGGTAGAAGATAATGCTAGCCAGGGAAGGGAAGAGAGAGGGAATGATAAAAAGAGGGTGAAGTGTGCACTCTCTAGTTGAACTTCCATTTTGGACCCGAGTGCGAGTAAAGCCACTCGGGTCCGTATCAAGCAATCGGACTGGACTCGCAGAAGAACAATTCACTTCTGAACTAGTAGAAGAGTCGGTGAAGATATGCTTATCGTCCGCGGGCTGGTTAGATAGATAATAGATAGTAGACGGAATTAAGAGTCAAGTACTAAGATAGCCTCAGGCCAATCATCTTGCCGCATCGGGGCTGGTGGCCTGATGTATGTGTCCTTTATTCTTACGGTCACGGGTATCAAAGACCGATTATAGTAAGATCTTTTATCTGCATCATGCTTTTCCTTATCTTGCCGTGTTTCTCTTTTATACAAGTGAGACGGCATAGCTTGGCTTGAATTGCGGTATAACTGATCTGTGTTTCACTTTCGCAGGCTATAACAATAACAAAAACATATGTCACCAGCTTCAATCCCATATCTAAGGAGCGTTGTTCCAATAAACTACTCTTCAAGTAAAGAATGACTGGCGTGAGCGATGCTCTTGCTATATACACTATGTATATCATCGATGTCTGAGCGATTGTGAGAACCTCTTCGAAAGATCAATCAAGTGGACAAGTGGACACTCTTCAGTAACAAAACAGAACTGTGGAACATGGACCTCCAGAGAGAGAAAAGTGCGCCTCAGGGAGTAACACGAGGGCCACTGGCTCCCAGGGTATTTGTGGGGCACGGTACCTTCAATCCTTGACTGAGCATTGCAAGGCCAGCGGGTTCGAGCTTGTCGATAGTACTTTCAGCGGGGACAGTCCCCACATATGGGTTGAAATTGTAGATCCCACAGATGCAAGTATCCACAATATCCTTCAGGCTTGTGTCTTCCATGATGCTCTTACCATCACGTGTAATAGCGAACTTTTGTTGGCCGACACCCATCGGCATGGTGAAGGCGCTGGCACCGGTCTGAGCCTCGAAGGTCTTGCTGTTCTTTCCAGAAGAAACTGCAATCGTAGCAGGTGATTTGAGCAATGCAACGACGAACACTGCATCTTGCATGGTTTCCCACCCGTTGGGTTTACCCCGGAAGAAATTGCCGCTAGAGTTATTGGGATTCCCTTCCATGGTGGTGTCGGTGGAGTCGCAGTTGACATCTCTCGGGGTAGGTCGGTACCAGTAGATCAACTTTTCGTCTGTAATATACTTATCGACTGATTTGTCTCCGGCTTTATACGCAGCTATAAAAGGCTTGGACATCTCGAGCCAACCGGTGTGTGGCCTATAGTAGACCGTTAGTCTGTGCTCATATTTTAGATGCCGAGACCACTCACATATCCATGACCCATTTGGACGCCCCGTCATCTGTATGGGGTGAAGCCAACGGCCCAATATAGTGCGACTCACCATAATCATTCCAGGTTACAATTTCCACAAAACGCGGACGGAGGCTCAGGATCTGTTGCCATCGATCATACCAGAGAAGATCAGAAGGGAAAACCCAGTTCTTACTGTAGGACACCTCACCCCCGAAGTGAGTGAAGAACCAACCAGAAGCAGCTGTTGATTGTCAGTTCTGACGTTCCGTGAGTAGCGAAGATGCCATCAGTGGAACTTACGCGCAATATATGGCTTCCCGTTCAAAGCATCGACATATGCCTTGTCGCCATCAGCGACAGTAACGTTACGGCCAGGGGTCGGGGCCTTGTTCTCGCCGTTATTATCCCAAGCCATCCAGTTCAATGCTCCTTGGATTGCATTAAAATCTCCAACACCAGGGTGGAAATTCGGAGCGAAGAACACATCCGTTCCAGCAGCGGACTGCATGGCAGGGATATCGAGGTTGTCGCCTGCAAAGGAGGATGCAAAGACTTTGTTGTCCACCAGAAGTTGAGCTGGCAGACTTGCATACTGCTTGATCTTTGCGCCCACGGCGCTGGCCTGCCCGGTGTTGTACCAGTTGAAATCAAACGACAGGAAGACCTTCATGTCATTCTTGGCAGCAGACTCATAGGCCAAGGTAAGCTGAGCATCTGTGTACGGATCTACACCGATATTCAGTGCAAATGCGTCAATGCCCAGGGCTTTCGCACGCTTCATGTCGTCGTCATAGTCGGCAGCGCTTTGTCTGTTGCTGGTAATTCCAATCTGTGATGATTAGACTCGGGGTTTGCGGTTCCGGCCATGGATTTTCTTCTTACTAACCATGAAATGGCAAAACACGAGTTTGTCCGTCGCCGTATTATTAGCCATATGCTGTGCCACTGGTGTGGCAGCGACCAATGCTAAGAAGCCTGCGAGGACTAAGGGGAGCATTCTCGGAAGCATGGCCTCTGAGGTGTCAATTGCTCTTCTTCAGAGGATAAGGGAGAACAGATAAGTATGGGGAAGGGAGCAATTGAACAAAAATAGAGGGATTAGAATGAGTTCTACAAAGGCAGGGTACCTGGAAAATGGATGGCAGAACGGACAGTAAAGGAGTGCAAGGAAAACGATGAAGATGAAGTTTGCTTTGTAAGGAGCCAATACGGACACTATCTGGGCATTGTCCTGAATAATGCAATACTGTTTTGCCGTGATTTGCCATAGAATTGAAGCATTCCTTTGCACGTTGGCCTCCCTTTTATCTTGACCACAACTTGCCCCCTGGCTTGAAGCCAACAAGGGGGCTTCATGATCAGGAGGTTCGAATTGTAACACGAGCAACTGAATCTCCATCACATGGCACAGAGTTCACGGTGAGATATTAGCGATGTAAGACCAAACTTGTCAGTGTCCACCACTGGACTTGTTCTCGGACTGACTTGGGTGCTGATAGTAACCCATTGGAGCCCCAGGCCACTTCGCTATTGGCAGAGTCGCTCCAGGCAGGTTGACGGTTACAGTCAGGCGTGGCTTCAAGTCAAACGAATAAAAGTAAGTCACTTCGCTTCTCAATTCATGCAAAATCGAGCTTCACGTACAATAACTTCGTTAGTGATACGGGTATATCCGAGGGGGCACGGCCCTAGAAGGATGTGTACGTCTGTAGAACAATCCATTAGCCCTAACGTCGATCATTTCGGATGTAACATTCTAGTCAAGTTATATATTACCCCCTTCAATTGGTTGGCCCAGGATAAAGTTGAGGCGTTCCTTGCCATTATGTGGTCCACCATAGACTGAGCAGAATGAACAACCGGGATGGACACATGACAGCGAGAGAAAATTGACCAGCGCACAGGCACCCAATAGTGTACATTGGGCATAAGAGTACTACTCGAGATGTATTGGCTGCATATGTTAATTGATCCTTGAGATCAGGTTTCCAATATCGCAGATCGAGATTGCGGGGTAAGAATTTCCTAACAAGCCAGCCACGCGATACCATCACCAGACAGTCGAGGACCATGGTAATAACGTCATCTATAAGAAGACTCTCGGTGTATCACCCTTGCGGCTTTTCCTCGAGTCCTCGGACTGGTACTGAATTCGACTGGTCATCCCGCGTAGGGGCGCAGTGTTGGCCGACTTCTCGCACAGAGCAGTGTAACATCTGATGTTTATCCGTTGATCGTCCGGCCATGTGATTCTTAAATTCTCCTGGGTTTAAGTTTATTAAGTATTTCCGGCGCCAATCAGTCAATGTGGCTTCATTCGCCATGTTCACCAACAGATTCCAGCATCAATAGTAGGGCTTGGAGTTAGGTAAGTTGAAGTGGGTAGCCGTCGGTCAGTCGTCGGGGAGAGCATTCTCTCTCCCCCATCAATTCTTAGCGACGGAATGACTCTGCCTGTCTGTGGGTAGCATTCACGTCACACACACACATACTATCCAGAGAAAGCAATGGCAGGAAGCGGTGCAATTGGGCCAATGATGTCTATATGTGACGGGGGGGTATGGGGACACTGGACGGAAGATGCCAAACAATCCACAGTGTCAGTGCTAAGGTATGATGGTGTGAAGGGGGTTACATGCCAACTAAATCGTAATCAATTGCTACCAGCAACCTTAGGTACTTAGTCACAGGGCAACAGAGTAGAGATGCGTTCTTCCAAAGCAATATGACAGACATGCTAAGCTATAAGAGAAGGGAACAAACCCCGAGTAGGTTGGGGGGCCAAACAGGAAATGAGAGAGCCAAGTAGCTTATAGCACAGCAAATGCAGAGACGTAACTCACGGAGCTATCGTCGACATCAACTGCATCCGAGCTTCTCTCATATCTGACAAAATGGAATTTACCCTTTTTCCCTTCTTCCTGGCTCGTAATTTCCTCAACAGCAGCCATAATAACGCCAATTGGATGCCGGCCACAAACTGTATTGCCAGTGGTTTGGATTGTATCCAAGAAATTAGCAGTGACGCCGGTACTTATGGCTGCCATAGTCGCGATATCGAAGGCCGAGATGCTCTCATGGATCGCTGGCTCTCGATTTGAGATACGATCTCGCCGCTGCAAAGCTTGGCCCGTAGATACCGATTCCATTTTATCCTCTACGCTACTGATATTGTCTCCTGGCTGAGGTAAAGAGTTAGCAGAAAGTGGGAGCTTTGGCCCCGGCTTTGGTGCCTGGGGAACGTAGTATGTGTAGCGGAAACGCAAACCCCAGTGGCAGAAGTCTGAACTTATGACAAAAGCGTTGGCGGGGTCCTCCAGATACGGAGCCAGAAGGGCTCCAAAAGCACTCTCAGTAGATGTTGAAGTACTTCCAACCATGATCGGCACAAGTGGTGGGTACTGGGAGGTGGGTTTATTTGGGAAATGGAGCTGCAAAAGACGGTGGATGTACGGTAAATGAAGTTCTATGCTGTGTTCATCCTCATCAATAGATCGTGACATAGTTGTGAAGCTAACAGTGGACCCGTTAGATTTGACTGCTTTGGTTGAGAGTAGCTTCGCGATAAGGTCCGTGTCAAGTGGCAGAGGCTCGTCGGAAAGCGGGGTATAGTACGAAGTAAGTTCAGGGAGAGCGAGGGTCGAGAGGTAATGATGGTGAGATGGTCCAAGAATGAAAATCCGCTTGCTATTTCCAGTAGAGCTTAGAGCTAATCCAAATTCCGGTAGGGACGTGGCACGTACGCTTTCGAAAGATCCAGAGCCTTGTATGCATAGGCGGCACAGGGCCCAGAGTATGCGTAGCCCGCATGTCTGAGGGATCAGCAATCGAATTGACAAGGTAAGGTGCAAAGAATATTCTCCAGTACATACGGAGCAATTATTATTCGTGCACCAGGCACTGGCAGGGAGCCTATGCCCTCGATCCTATTTGGAACTTGGGCGAGCCATTCATCAAGCTGACGGGTTAAAGTGCGTTGGCTATCAGAATACCAGGAACCAGCATGAGAAGCTTCCCGTGACTGCATATTGTATAACTTTGTACCAAAAAGAGCAGAGTAGAGCGAACAATACAATAGAAGGCTGCAGTGGTGAAGTTGTATTAGTTAACCTTCGTTGCTTGATACTAGGATAGAAGCGGGGAAGCGGGACCTCTTCGTCATTAAGTGGACTGCCTAAGGTTCACCACAACGCCGCGGCATGCCGAGATTGAAGGCGGCATGCCGATCCTTCCACTTAACAGCAAGATTGAATGAAGCATGAACGTAGGTCCATGGTGAAATGCCTAAGAAAGATCCACTATGGAGAGACAGTTACGATCAATTTAGCTGTAATTCTACACAACTACGGCAGTAGACTCTGTTTTCTCTTCCCTTTGCTTCCCCTAGCATAACATGGGTGATTCTAGACTGCAACGCTTCAACACCAGACCCAAGTCACCCATTGGGGGGAGCAATCTAGATAGACAACGATACAGAAGTTAAAAAAAGGAAGTTTTGAACTGCAAGGCGGTCTGACTTCGTCGAAATTGACGTTAAACAAGGTAAGATCGTTTCCCAAATGTGAAGGGATCGCGTGGTTGGAAGGCAACGTTAAGGTACAGGAGACGTTGGTTATCTCTCCCTATTCCCAGATCAACAAGCCATCTCACTGTAATACTATTAAATAGTATATAGGCTGTTCAGGTGTTGATGGGAGAGAACGCTCCATTTCCACCTACCCAGTGATACCAATTAAGCCGAATAAGGAAAAGCGCATAATTTGTGAACGGTAACGCTACGCCAGGAACGGACGCGACGCGCTTTCCACCAACCACATTAAAGGGCTGAACCCGGCCCTGTTATTAGCCTTCAACTGAATCCATTATTCGATCGTGCAGTCAGATTACCCCCTCGCGTGCTCCTGCAAGGACAATACCTTGTTATTCTCAATAATTCAATCAAGATACAAGCCTTAGATTGACATAAGTTGGGATTGTCTGTCAGATACTTGCCTGTCACACGATCCACCCTAATAGACGGCTTCCAACTTTCAATTTCCAACACCAGTCACATCCCTGCAAACCCGAGACGGCCGTCAACAGAATATGTCGCTCAAGCGCAAGGCTTCATTCTCGGGAGTCTATTCTCCTGATGCGGCGCCAGTCATCGCAGGACGGTCATTGATGATGGACGACTCCCCAAAACATCTCAATAGTCGGACACGGAAGCGCTATAGGAACGACCGGCCGGATGATAAAATTGTATATGGTGTGTACTTTGTACCTTGAGTGAGGCCTGTGTCAGGCTTCGGCTAACGATGGTAGAAAATACGCTCCGCTGGCTCTTCACTGCCCAACAGCAGCAAGGACCGATTCCTCATGCGGATGAGACTATAGATGAGGACATGGAGTCAGATTCGCTTCCATCAGAAATCGTCGATCCACGACAACAAACGCTGCATAAATTCTTCCAACCCTCCCGTCCGTTATCCTCCCAACCCGGGTCCAAGCATGTGAAGCAACAAACAGACAATATCCCACGAACCAATAATAGTTTCTTGAAACGCCACGATCTCGACACAATTTCCAACGTCGCCTCAATCGGCAGTAGTGCGGCTAGCCCATCCTCACAAGATACCACGGTTGATATGGAGATGCGGATGAACTCTGGAAGCAACGACTCTGTTGAAAATTCCACCAGATGGAATAGAGGATCGGGATGGCTGTGATATGACAGCCGATTGTCAATGATCCGTGCAAAATTCCTTCATACTACTTTATACCCACTGACGATTGATATGCGTTTCCCGGGAAATCCAACAATTGCTGGTCATTATTGGATTTATTTCCTAATATCTTCGTGATTGATGTTGATGTTTCAAGCCATTCTGTAAGGTTAATACAAAATATCTATGTGCATGTCCTGCGTTGAATTGACGGGGTCAATTGAATGCTGGCTGCGGGTCTAATATAACCAAAGTTGCAGTCCTTAACCTAGCTGTATCACAGTGGTATGGTCCATTTTCTTTGCTCAAAGCAAGCCTATGAAAAGCATATATCCTAGGCATCATGGAATGAACACCTCGCGTAACACAGAAGTGCTACGTAATTTCACAGCGTAGTCTGTACTTCCATTTCGAGGACGAACGAGGACAACCAAAGAAAACACGAACTTGAGTGGAAATAGAATAAATGCGGGGAAATGAAATTTTGATTTAGCTTCGTATTTAGGTGTTGGAAGGTCACTTGCTCTGTTGGTGTTCCAGATTAAATGTTTCATTGTATGTCACATGCGTAAACGTAATTGCGGGGAGCCTTTGCTACTGTGTAAGATTCTCTCTCGCGCGCGGCTTTTCCAAACTCAACACTGTACCTACTGGACTATCGCCCCGACAAGGCCACTAGGCCCCAGAACTCATACGGCCAACTGAATCATTAGCGTTGCTAGAGATCATCGTTCTTTCTGCCTAGCACCGTTGCCCCGCCCGTTTTCTCTTAATTGTCTTGAACGACTCTGCGAAGAACAGCCCAGAACGGGCGGTGGTTTTTCTTGGTGGCCGATCTTACTTTTTTACAGGTTGGTTAAATCGAAAGGGGCACCATGGATGACAACCAAGCCGTCCAGTATTTGGAATCCTTGATTGGTCAAACACTGCGAGTCCACGCGACAGACACGCGTATTTTCGTGGGCGCTTTCAAGTGTACAGATTCGGTAAGTGACCCTGTGCAAACCATTATCTGATTATCGATCGGACGAAAAGAGAACCGGAAAAAGAAAGCACGGAATACGAAGACCAGGATAGTTGCTGACTGCAGAACGTATCTAGGCGCGAAATATTATCCTCGCGAGCACATACGAATATCGCTTTCCGAGCCCATCGGCAGTTCGAGATGCTGCCACTGACGCAGAAAACCAAGACTCCACGATAGGCGCAGCCTCCGAGAATGTCAGAGTGAATATGACAAGTCGATTTATTGGTCTTGTGGTCGTGCCCGGTCAGCATATCACGAAGATCGAGTTGGAGGAGACCCCTCAGCAGAGTCGCGTGCGGGAAACGCTCAAAAAATCATAGAAGGCAACTCTCCACTACAGGTTGCGAATTCCATCTGCATGTTGGACTAGATCCTAAGCTCAAGCCTCCCTTCAGTTCCGATTCGGCCGGCATGGCACATCAATATCGAATAATAATGAAGGAGAAGACCTCGAAAACAAGCGGTCAACTGCACTACTAATGCAAGTCTGGCAACATCGACCTGCGAATCCTACTTAGACAGCCTTGGCTGGGAAATTTTTGCCCTTTACCGCGCCTTCATATCTCCAAAGGCTGAACCTAAGATATGCGACCTAACCCTCCTCAACGTGGCTAGGAGAAAAAGGAGAAATGTTTTTGGTACTTGGCGCAGTCTGTGGGCTTGGCAGCGTTGGTCACAGTGATGTTGTTTTGGTATTGAAGTGGCGGTGTTCCTGCAGTCGGTGGGGTCCAGAGCCGACTGCAGATGTTTGGTTGTTTTCTTTCGTTGATTGCTTAAAGGCTATCTCGCAGAGCTCCTTGGTACTCGATACACTAGGGCTGCGATCCTCCCCCCAAATGAGCCCCTGTCGATAAAGGGTGCATCATCAGGATGGAACACCAGGCATAGCATCTAGAAACTTGCAGCTTTTATTTCTGATCAGTCAAATAGAGAGTCGGGTAACTGCGGAATATGCACGAGGGTCGCCCATCACTATGATTCTGTAATCCACTGATTCGTTCTAGCCTGCAGACAGAAACAAATTTTCCATGGATGCGGTCAAGTTAAAGGCCCTATAATGCTTGAAAGCGGAGCTGGGGCCAAAGCCAAGAGACATGAGGAGGGGGGAAGGGGCATGCGAACGGAGTGTCTGTGCTAAGATTGTCGGGTGTCAAATTCCTTTCCCACCTTCCAGAGTCACGAGCGTTGACCGAGGCTCATTCATAGGCTGAGGGGAAGACAACACTAAATTAGTTGATCGAGAGTTGAATGGGAAGACCGACTGGGTACTCCGTACAAGTGACTAGCAATCTCGATTTTCTTTTCCTTTTGGCTCTCTCGCTCAGGTTCTTTTTTTCCCTGAACTTTTTTAGAATTCTTTTCTTGCATTTTCTGTTTTCTGTTTTCTTTTTTCTTTTTTTTTTTTTTCTATTCTTGGGGTTTTCACCTAACTGATTGCCGTATAAAAAGGTGGGCTCCATTCCAACCGAATATAAAGTCTGAATGACGACGGTGAGTTATTTTAGTAGCTCCACCGATATCCACTGCTAGGCACCAATCCCATCTTCAGGCCACGAAGGCAAATTAGTAGCTGGAGCTCCCTCGGTCCGGCAGATGATCCGGACATGCCACATCCGTTGCTGCAGGATCGAGACCAAAAAACGACAGCCTGGGGTTTGAGGCGAGAACCCGATCAAAAAGTTAGCCTGCGCTCTGCAACCTCACTCACCTGCGTCGCTACAACAACCCCCGTTGATCGGTTTTCTGCTGTTATCGTTGATTTCCCTCCCCCTCTCTTGCAGATCACTGTTGTCACTTACAAGAGTTCCATCTGGGTAAGTTAATAACGGTTTTGTCATGGGTGCAATCCACCCCCATCCATCCATTTCTCCATTCTATTGCCCACCCCCATAATGACGCATTCTTTTCTCTCTCACACCCTATCATTCTTCCCCCTCCCCTCCACCAACTCAACCCAAATCTCTTCCATTCAGACTCCCTTCCACTTGCCTCCACATACCACTCCCGAGCTTCAGCTTCACCTATGCTCAGCACACCCATCCCAGGTGCCGCATGATATCGACATCGCTAACCGTCCTATCGCAGAAGCTTACTTCGGGCGAATCGGAGCTTTCCCTTCCGACTAACTAGCTCGCCGGTGGCTTGTGTCCTGGTACCGTCACTTTCTTCTCCGTCGGTTCCTCATCCATAACCTCGCCAAATCCTGCACCGGACCTCTTGATTTCGCTTGTCCTACCTTCCCTCACCGCTGGAGTCGGCTACCGCAGCTATACCCTCCCAGCGATAACCTACATTGAGCCCGATCCTGCTGCCACGGTAGTCCCTTCTATCCCTCTGGACGATCACTACTCCCTCTCCTGGTTTTCAAACGGCAGATCTCGCCTTCCCCTTTATATAATTTCTCATAAGCCGTTGGAACTGTACAGCAGCCAAGACGGCTGCCAGCATTCCAACGCCAAGCAGAGCCTTGGTCCCTTCATCTTTTGACGTATATCGTTCGTCAATTGTCCGCCTCTGAGCTTGGCAGACATCCAGTCCTGCAGTAATGGGTCAGTCGCATTCCAAGGGCAATTCTGGCCCTGGCGACTCTCTGCAGTCCTACCCATCCTTTTCTCGCTCCGACACGAAGGAGTCTCTTCGGTCTATTCGGGGCTCTATTCGATCTAAGATCCGTAGCAGCGATAGCCCTCGCGCATCCACGTCAGCTCTGTCCACGGGGAGCCAGACGGATAAGTCCGATGCCGGGTCGATCAAGTCAACCGGGAGTAGAAGAAGCTCCACCAACCTGACTGCTCAATCTCCTGGTGCCGATGACTCAGCTTCTCAACTCGATGCCCCGGATCCACCTCCCTCTCCCACCTTGTCGAGCAGCCTGAAACGAGGCCATAAGGATGTCGATGCGATGCAGCAAAGCGGAGAGGTTGACCACGTGTCGGATGCGCCTCCCACTGGTGCTGCTCCAACGGGATCGTCACAGAAAGTCGGCGAATCCATTCTTATCAAGCGGCAAGATCAGCTGAATCCAATCCTGGATTTCATCATGAACACACCTTTGAATGATACATCCTCGTCTCCAGGAATGGGAATGGGCGCTCTTAAGTCTATCGACCTTGATGACATGATCACACGTCTGCTGGATGCCGGTTACTCAACTAAGGTCACCAAGACTGTCTGTCTCAAGAATGCAGAGATCACCGCCATCTGTAGTGCGGCTCGGGAGCTATTCCTCAGTCAGCCTGCACTTTTAGAGCTGTCGGCCCCTGTCAAGATTGTGGGCGACGTTCACGGCCAATACACCGACCTGATCAGATTGTTCGAAATGTGTGGCTTCCCCCCGTCTTCGAATTACCTCTTTCTGGGTGACTATGTGGATCGGGGCAAGCAAAGCTTGGAGACAATTCTGCTTCTGTTGTGTTATAAGCTCAAGTATCCGGAGAACTTCTTTCTTCTGCGAGGCAATCATGAATGTGCCAACGTTACCCGTGTATACGGGTTCTATGATGAATGTAAACGGCGTTGCAACATCAAGATTTGGAAGACCTTCATCGATACGTTCAACTGCTTGCCGATCGCTTCTATTGTAGCTGGCAAAATTTTCTGTGTCCACGGCGGACTTTCACCAAGTCTCTCCCATATGGACGATATCCGGGGGATCGCGCGTCCGACTGACGTTCCCGACTACGGGCTGCTTAATGACCTTCTCTGGAGTGATCCGGCGGACATGGAGGAGGATTGGGAGCCTAATGAGCGCGGCGTAAGTTACTGCTTTGGTAAGAAAGTGATCATGAATTTCTTGCAACGGCATGACTTCGACTTGGTATGCCGAGCCCACATGGTAGTGGAGGACGGTTATGAGTTCTACCAGGATCGCATTCTAGTCACAGTATTTTCTGCCCCTAACGTGAGTGTTTCCCTAGTCGCTCCTATTGCATTGTTTTAGCGTGAAGCGAACCCCTGGTATTTGCTAACGGCCCTTTGCAGTACTGTGGAGAGTTTGATAACTGGGGAGCAATCATGTCTGTCTCGGACGAACTCCTGTGCAGTTTCGAGTTGTTGAAACCGTTGGATTCCACCGCACTGAAGAATCATATCAAGAAGGGGCGGAATAAGCGGAATAGCATGCTCAACAGTCCTGTAAGTTCTCCCTTACTTGATCCCCTTTTCGCCAAGGAAACCCATCTCTGCGCTGTGCAACAACGCCGAGAGATTTGTGTTTAAAAGCCCCCTCTTTGGATGTGTTTTCGGTTCCAGTGCTAATTGCCGCAGCCTGCAATTGTATCAGCCCAAAGTTATTAGACGTCCTGGTGATTCGTTGCCAAGAAGTCGGCATGCATCATATGTCACTACCGAAGCGATCTGGGCCTGGGCTCAGTTGACGTTAAGCTCACCCGTTTCAGTCACGGCGTAGTCCGTCTGAATTGATTGGGCAAACACATCATGAAAATCGTTCCTGCGCCGGACTCCCCGTCGATATGTGCATCCCTCGGGTGCTGGCCTTCTGGGACTCCTTATTTGCAACGCAGCAATGCCGGCTCCCAACCAAACGCCGCTTGGTTTGCCATTGGCAAACTGGGCGGATCAGGACCCATCCTCCATCATTACAAGGGCGTTTGATGCGATTTGCTCGCCCCATGAGGCACTCACCCAAATTGACTTCATCGCAAGTCCTACGCCGATTTAGCGAGCTATGCTCTGACTTCGCTATGTATACGGTCCCGGTTATTTTTCTACGCATATAATGAATAGACAAGGTGTGCGGGGAATCTGATTTTCTGGCACCTGTGAAAACCCATTTGAGAGCTAAAGGCGATAGGAGTCTGTGTATTTTGACCAGCTTTTCTTCTCGATAATTCCATGTCGATGAGACATGGTTTGACGTGTCATGATATCTTTTTGGTTTCCCCTTATCTTCTCTTGTTTTGTCGCAGATTCATATGATGCTGGTTCCCATTATCATTGCTTCTATCCATATTGCTTCGGACATGGGATGGTCTCTATAGCTCATTTAGATTTTCCCGAAGGACTATTATTATCCAAAGGCTTCTGTACACATTTCACTATCCATGCACATGTCCTTACAAAGAAGACTGCTGAGTTCAACTGTACCAGAATTCCAAGAATAGTGATCTTTGTGTGAACATACCGTACGCTAAGAAATTTGAACTACTAGTGCTTGTTAATCAGCATTGGCCTGGGGTTTGCTTCCCCGAAATTCGCGTCCGTATCTCTTCTTCTATGCTAGTGTCCCGCAGAAGGTTTCCTTCACTTAAGTCCTCAGAAATGGGCCCGATACTGCTCATAGCAAACTGAGAATCCTAGGTTCAAGCCATGTCAATGACGAGAATTGTAGATGTAATGCATATCCGGAATCATACATGCACGTAGTCGAACACAGATAAACCCCAATAAAGGAAAAGACGAATACTTACATACATGAAATACATACCCGTCAAGGTAGTACCGGGTAGTATTTCTGGTTTCCTGGACTTTCGAGGAGGAAAGCCCCCGGCGGGGAGTTTCAGGGCCGGAATAGCGTTTTGTTGGAAGATGAAGGGCTTGGGCCTTGTATTTGTCGTTATCTAAGGTGCATTGTTAGTCGACTTGTGTATCTGCTTGGTTATCTAGATTGGCTGTCGTTGAGGGAGATATTCATGGGTTGCTTGTATGTGATGTCCCAGTTGACGGTGGGGAGCTGGATCTGTAGTCCACACATGCGCTGGTAGTTGCAATGGTGGGTTTGGTTTACCTTTAGTGACGTTATTTTTATTCTGTACGACCCGTAGCCAGCGGACGCTCGGAGGAAATCGCCGTCCGATTGGAGACTTGTTAACCGTTCACCCCCTGGTCCATCGATCAGGAAGGGGATTTTGACAGAGTCGTCCCTGCTATCTGTTGAGGGACAAGCTTGGAGACGCTTTACGGGGGAATCATCTGTGTAGAAGAAGTCTATCCCCACGATTGCTGCGTTGGACACCGTAACTGAGATACGGGTTAGGTACTTAAGGAGGTTGCCCCGTCTTCCACCAAACATGACATGCACAAGTGGACGGTAGTCAAGGAGAGGGATGTTTCGACCGGTGAATACATCGTCGTGGAGATGGTAGGATGAGGGAGGGATCCCTGGATACCAAAGTCCTGTAGTTCGCAGGGGTAGGTGTTCACCTCTGGTATCGTCAGGGAAGAGCGGCTGAAGCTCGGTGGGAACAGCTAAAGATACCATTTTGAAGCCCTAGATCATTTCTGTCAGCAATGCCTATCTTTTAAGAAAATAAGATTGAGCTCACATCGAAGGAACATTTCAAAGCGTGGATTGCCGTCTTCGTACACAGCCGGACTGTCTGCGGCAGGCCTTCTGACAAGCCCACCCAGTTGGATATCTCTCCCTGTCCGGTTACAACACGGAGTGCCATGACACCTCTAGGGCTGACAGCGGCAATGAACCCATTCAAGTCAAAGCATTCGCTTTTCAGCTCCACGTGTTTCTCCTTACATGGAAGGACATAGCCCAGTCTAAGCTCCTCATTGTTTGTAAGTACGAGCCGAAGACCCGAGACATATTTCTTATCACTTAATTCTCGAAAGGAAACCCCAATTGATCTTATCGAAGAGGTGATTGAGATGTTTTGTTCATATATCACCCTACATTTCATTTGGTAAGGGGAGTCTCCGTTCGACCGTACGGAAAAGTCTCCTCCAACTGGTCTCCATGCCGGCACAGGCTCCTTTGGCCATAGTTCAAGCTCCCTGGTCATCCCTTCACTGACCAACGGTTGATCAAGAACTAGATCTGCTATATTCTTCAAGTAACACCAGATCCGCTTTCGATTCTTCAACTCATTAGATGAATCTGGTGTCACTGCTGTATCCTCGAAGAAAGCCCTCCAATCCCTGCAGCGCAGTGCGTGAGCTCCACTATATAGTGAATCCCTAGCCTCGAAGCAATACCCACGCTCTTGATGGCAAGCAAACCTTGAAGCCCAAAATGACTGCGTGAGCGGCAATGCAGCGAACGACCTTGATGCTAAACGCACGTCAGCAACACTGCGAGATGGTAGAAGCATCTGGATTTGCTCCAGGATTTCTTGAGGAAGCTTTTGAAAACAATCAGCGGTGGTTATCGAAACGGATGATATCAAACTGGTCATTGTTGTATTCTCTCGTCTATCCTGAGAACCAACAAGCGCTTGCTGCACCTCCAATACGTCTAATGGATCTGACGTGGCCAGCGTCAAGGGAGAACTCTTGTCCCATAGGAACCGTCTTATATAGCCCGCAATATATACGTCTTCCCATGGATAGCCCCCAACGGGACGTTGGTCCATGAGCCCACCGTAGTTGTGTCCCCAATCCAGCCATCCTTCTGTGTGCGCTGGACATGAGAGGCAAATATCATACAACCGCTGGATAGGAACGGCATGGGGGTGAAGCATGCCCCGTAGTAGTTCCCAGCACGATTCATGGAGAAGAAACCCAGGTTGCGGATGGAGTGTGTCACCTATCAGCGGGGGAAATATGTCCTCCTCTGTCCAAACAAAGTTATCATCCCATCGCTGTTCTGCAGAAGAAGGTGCAGCACAGTTGTAAAGGATCTCTGGAGGGACATAGCTGCCCACTCCTGTAACGAAAGGCTCCCCATCTAACTGAGAATTGCCATCACATCTAACTATATAAATGTCAGTTCACAAATACCCATCAACAGAGCCACCGTATTGAGGGGGGAGAACGGCTCAGCACAGACTTGCACGAAAGTTTCTTTTCCAAGAGACTTTGCGGTCACGATATGTAATCTTTGCACCACAGATGATGCAATGCGGGCTGCTGTTGAACATAGTTTTCAGACTGGTAACTTGAAGAGAACTTAGGAGCCAAGGCAATTCCTCAAAGAATACAAATTCCACAGCTGAGGAGCTTTATTGGATAGAAGTACAGTGTACCACTCTAAACGAGGGACAACTTCGGGAAGGGCATAAGGACTGTATATATGGTGATACAATACGAGGCATCAACGTTTTAACAGTGCAAACTAATACTATTCCCGCCAACTCTAAAGAGTATGACGTGGCCAAATACGACGCTGACGAAGAAGCAGGAGAAGATCCGAGATGGAGAGAGCAGGAGAGAGCTACAAGATGGTTGACTGATGCCAAGTCACCTGCTAGCCGCGTGGCGCCTGAGGCGACCGTCAACATCCTCGTTGCCTACACGCCGATAAAGCAAATAATCGATCAGGCATCACCGTTGTATGAATAACTTTTGTATGTATGAGTCTCTAAAAAAAGCACATCCTGCTAGCCGAACAAGGAGAAATGGATATTCCTGTACAAAAGCGCCAGACATCGGGGCCCTATCAACTGGGAGGTGGGTTTCCAGCGGACAGTATTCAAAGGCGAGAAAAGAAAAACGTATAATGATGAATCGCTTGCCATGCCGACCCGCACATGATACTCCAATGTCACATCTTCACTCGGGTCTAATGCACTGTACCTAAGGGTGACTTGATCACTCATAGTCCCTAACATAGCGACCCGGAAGCTCAACGTCCCACATGGGCCGCTCCACAACTGCGACTTCTAAGTTACCACTATCTTCTTGTTCCTGTGATTCTTCATCTGGTGCCTGAGGGTTCAAGGGTACAATTCCCAGGATATCACGGTACTTGTATGTGTGCCACCAACGACGTGCCGAATGTGAGTTATCCGCGGCCTGCACCAGCTGTTTCTGAGAAGGCGTGTCGCCATTGACAGCGGTCTTGTTAAGCTGCTTCTTGGGGGTGCTGACGCTACCTTCGAGGTTTCCTCTTCGTAGGCGAGCCAGGTTAGAATCATGGCTGGCTGTATAAGCTTCATCGTGATCGTATGCTTCATCATCTTCATCTGCCCCACGAGGACGCTCTTTCTCAAGAGAGATCAATTCAGCTTTCGACTCGTCGCTTCCTACGATCTTGCGAATCTTGGAACCAGGGAAAACGTCAGACTGTGCTAATGGAATCTTGTCACCGGCACCGGTATTCGGCTTCTTTCTGTCATTCTCCTCATCATCCAGAAGCCCACGCTTGCGCTTTTGGGATGAAGACTTCTTCGCAACCTGCATAGAATTCTGCCCATCATCATGAGTGTCTGCCGAAGCACTCAGCTCTTCTGGAGACGGAAAATCTTGGTTCAAGTCGAACATCCACAGCCAAGAGGTACCGTAGAGCCAGAGACGTTCACGGGCCTCGTTCAAATCCCAAACACAGCCCATCGCGCGATCTTTTACACCTCTAAACTCTTCGGGTAAGAAGGCTTTAGGGTTTCTCCTTGACCAATCCGACAACTTTCCATCAAGAGCATCAACTTCCACCAGTTGGTGCTCACTCGTAAGGGCCATCAACCGGCTTTCAACCTTAGAATCCTGACCCGCATCGTCGGCCAATAACTTCTTTCCGGCCGAGTTCAGAGGACGGAAGGACAACAGTAGTACGCCGGACTTGAGACGAGGAATTGGCGATTCAGCGGCTGTGAGAGTCCAACGCTCACCCTCCACCACTGGCTGTTCATCCTCATCATCAGAATCATCATCGGAGTCTTCGGCAGCATTGGCTTTCGCCGAGGTCTTTGACTCAGCTGTCTCTAGCGACCAGGCATCCACACACCCAGAAAGATCTCCGACTGCAAAGATCTTGCTGTTTTCAGAGAACACGGCGCATCGGATGGTCTTTTCGTACTCTCCCAAGGTACCATGGGAAGCCTTCTCAAAGCGAGCATGACGAGTAGCTCTGTTAAGTTTAACGAGTTGGGTTAGGACCTGGGGTTTCTCCTGAGGCGATGAAGCAGGCTTGATCCTGGCTAAGTAGGTAGCACTATTGGGACGAACGACGCAGATCCACCGACTATCGGGGGAAACGGTAACGACTCGAGCTCCGTCATTGGCGAGTGCAGATGGGATATCAAGCTTTTGTATGCGGAGAGTTCCTTTCTCATCACCTTTGCGCCGCCGAACAGAAAACACTTTGACGCTGGATATCGTAGCAACGACTAAGATCTTTCCGTCGGAAGATAGCATAGCTGAGGTGATATTCTCTTCGCCCTATCATGTGAACAGTCCATTAGAAATGAACTTCATAAGCGCCGATACTGGTTGATCTTCACATACCTGGATCAGGACCTTTCCAACCAACCGGTGCCTCTGTCCATCAAGGTTGTCTTGCAACGATGTGGGGCCGCGGAACAGGCGCCAGATGCTAATCTCTCTATCCCAGAAGCTCATGACCAGTCGAGATGAAGGCGAAGACGCAAGCTGTGGTATTTGAGGCAGACTCGATAGCTTTCTGTGGTGCTCTTTTCCGAACTCACGTAAAGGTAAGACAACCGGGGTGGCGTCAGGTCCTGATTCTTGTCAGCCAACTTTGCCAATGCTTGGAATATAAGATTAACTCTCACCTCCAGAAACAACAACACTAATGTCCCTCGTCTCGTAGACAGCAAAGGTCTTCACGTCGTGGGTATGGTACCGCCGGTGCATCACCTCCACCCATCGGCCTTTCTTATCGCCCTTCTCCCCAGCTTTCTTTTTATAGACGACTGTCCTCTGGTCCGCACCTCCACTAACAACTGTGTCTCCATTTGCACTCACAGCGATGTCCAAAGTATCAGCCACGTGACAATTGAGTCGTTGGATAAGCGAGTAATTCTTGCCGTCCCAGAAACGAACTTCACCAGCAGAGTCGCCAGATACAATAGTGCCGTCGGGAAGGCACTTCACAGACCAGACCAGCAATTCCTTCGTACCACCCGTCGGTCCCTTGCCCAAAGAAATTGTTCGCAGGAGTTGACCATTCCGAATATCAAACAGGCGGATTGAGCTGTCCGCATAGCCGGCCACGATAGTGTTACGATCTTGGAAGGTGACGCTAAGCACCCTGGCTCTCTTTGTAGAAGGTCGCATAAGACGAAGGAACCTGACATCATTGTCGGCCGTAGACAAGATCACGATAGATCCATCCGCGCATCCCGCGGCGAGGTGTTGTCCGGTGTACTCTCCTTCCGCTGGAGGCAGCCACTTGCCATCCTTGCCCCGTTTCGTAGGCTGCCATCTTGGCTGAGCCGCTATGCACCAAATCTCACCATAATTTCCACTTGAGTGACGCAGGGGACGGCCTTGTTCGATATCCCATTCAGTTACCGCAGTCGAATATCCGATACTGAACAAGCGCAGTTTTCCGGGGATCTTTGAACCATCGGGACCAGACTCAGGCGGATCGAGTGTCCAGGTAAGTCCTTCTATGCTTCTATCCTTTCCTCCACGGAGAACAGTCTCTTGAAACCATGCGCCGCGCAGTGGATTCCAAATTTCTATATCACCATTTGCGCGACCAACCGCGAGTCGGAGGGTAGGGACACCACGTCCCGCAAGTTCTGCAGACGGAGGGTGGGAGAATGCGAGCGCATTGATCGCTTGAGGGTTATAAGAAACGAAGCGGCAGCGGTGAATATCCATTATGATTAACGGCGTAATGCGGTAAAATCGAGCTTAAAAGTCGACGAAGCTTGTGCTTGAATGGAATGAAAAAAAAAAATGAAGTAGATCCTCGTTGGGAAAGAAAAAAAAGACCTACCCCGGCTCTCAACCTGTAGAGCCGACCGCTATACAATCATTCCGTTGCTGATAAAGAAAAAGTCAAAGATATTTCGAAGGTGTCACTGTTGTGGTTGTGACCTTGATGTTGCTCTCTCTCTGTCTTTTTTTTTTTTTTTTTTGATACAATTTTTAGCGCCGCGGAGGTTCCACCAAACGTGCTCGATCACGTGATCATCCCATTGTTGCTTGTAGAGCATCAAGCAAGAAACTTAGACAAAGCACGAGGCTACTTTCTTTACCTAATCTCTCATTATTCTTCTTTAGAGATTGAGATTGGAACTATTCACAAAAGCATTATTTCATCATTTAGCAAAAAGGAAAACCAATTGATGTACGATCATGAAATGCACATAGTATGTACTGTAAATTAATATACTAGTATTTCAAATCTCTTTCAGGTCCCGACAATAGTTTTGACCGATACAAGAGAATATCTAACAAATGAGGAGCGATTGTATGTCATCAACACAAAAAAAGCAAATATCAAACTGATCTGATGATCAAAGCCCAGTCTGCACTCTGGCGTAATGCTACTCTGGAGGACAACTAGAGATCGCATCAAGGGCCTTCCAACGAGTCAATACCCGGGAATGATTATAGAGATATTCTTTGTTTCAGCTGAAGGAAGCACCGAGACAACTTGCGCCTAGCGTGGTGGGACACCAATTACCAAGGATACTCACCTTGGCGAACTCCCAAAATGTAGTATGGCCAACTCCCTGCTCTAGTTTCAAATTATAACGCCAAGCAGTGTTGACAGGGAAAATAGGCACTGCAAAGCCTATCATTGTTACTCCAGTGCTTGTGGTACACTTTCGTGGTGGGCCAAAGCACCATATGACTAGGTTCTTGAAGCACGCAGGTAGTCAAGGGATGCATGTCCCCTATCATTTGAAGCATATAAAACGCGTAGCGCGAAGTCCTGTATGTAAGCGACATACGCATGCAAAGCTGTAGGTGACCTTGAATTCCAAATTAGCGTGGTGCAAGCCGGTCCAAGAGAGCGTATCAGCAAAAGTGAATCTTCTCGCACTTCACCTAAGAGTTATCAGTCGTAGACAGCCTCACATGCGCTGTATTTGATAGGTCCATATAGGTCCATTTAATATAGACGGACTGCCACGTCAGAGAAGCCCCGGTTATAGTTCCGGCCTTGCATGCTACCAGCAGACGGCTAGCGATGCAGTCTCCGTTATTCGAATGATGTGATAGGGCGCAATGATCCAGGTTTGCCGGGTTACCACACCACAGAAAAGGGTCAATTCCACGGGATTTAGGGCCGTAGAGACTCCAAGAAGGTGGACTTCAATTGTCTTCTGGTTAAAAGAGGGGGTGCCTCTGTATGGCTAGGCAACCTTATTTGTCGGCATCAAGAACGAATGTTCAGAAACCAGAGATTGTTAGCGAGTGGGGAAGGATTCTCTGAATTTCTCCGATGGATTCACCAGGCTCAGCTGAATGGGGTGGCCCCAAGATGGGCGATATGCAGTTTAATTCGATCTCGGGCTGTGCGCTTGCGGGGGTGTTGTTTGATAGGCACGATCCATGCCGTGAACGGGAATCGAACTGAGCCGCACACATTCAGACGACGCCACTTTCAAACCAGTCGAAGACAATCCCCGGGAGATAAGCATTCATGATTCAGATCATCGGATGATTTGCCATAATTGCTCAAAATGGTTCAAAGAGATCAATATCAATGATATCCTGGCTGGCTATTTTTGTTTCGACACCCAAGATGATGGGATCCATGGCTCAATGAAACTCTAAGAGATACCATACCTCGATTGGAAATATGAGGGCATACTGAATTGCAGATCTGTTTCCGATAAGCTGTGTTGGAGTACTTCCTCTCTTTACCTTCTTTCCGCGGTGGCGTCAACTACGCGACCATTGCCTCATGACTGATGCCCAAGTTTCAGCGCCGTGCATTCATGGCACAGTAGCTATGCGCGAGTTCTACTTGATAGCATCAAAAGCGCGACCAGCGTTGACTGTGCAGCAGTGGGTGCGCTGTGTTTACATCTAACTGACGCTTTCTTGCGGCCATTGCATGTTTGCATGGTGGCATAGGTTTGCTATGCGACACATTTGAAGAACTGGCCCTCGCTGGCCCCTGGTAAAAATGGTTCCCAACAATCCCCAAGTCGTGCGACGACTTCATAGAGTTCCGCTCGTATACGCTTTTAAAGTTCAGCCACTAGACGATGTAGGATGGCACCAATGGCAAGTGGCGAGAGGCTGATGTTGAATGCCTCAATTTATGGGAATTGGCACTAAGTACTCGACAGATTGAAGAAGGCAGTGGCCTTATGCCCTGTAAGGACACCTCCAACTGTAGGGATTCCAAATATGGTCAAAGGTCGAATCCCATGGTAGGGCGTAAGAGTGGAAGACGGTCGGATCTTGGGTTCCGTTAATCAATGAGAACAACGCATGTGCGTACTGTGTGCAGCCATCAGGATTATCTTTAGTAATAATGGTTATTATGTCTGACTCGATTCAGGAGGTGGCTGATGTATTGGTCCAGGCGTGTCTGCCGAAATTAGCATTTTGATATGCTGGGTGGCACATATCCAATTGCAGGCGAGGTCCATATATTATTCCCCGGGAACTTGCAAGGAATCCAACATTTGGACAAGAAAAGTGGAAAAACCAGCCATTAGCTCGATGAACCATCGCTGGACCAATTAACCCCGGGGTTCCATCCTGGTCGTAAGGCACGAACGGACGCGGGAAGAAAGCTTCTAGACTAGGATTACTGGAGAGCATCAAGGCAGGGAAAGGACACGCCGTTTTGGCAATAAGCGCGCTGGCTTTGCTCAGGCGACCATCGAATCAGCGCGCATAGAGGGCCTCTGAAGTCCACGCCAAGCATCGCGGCGAGATTACGCTTTATGTCATCGCGACCCCCTTAACTTCGGGGAAGAATGGTCCCGCGCGACCCTGGTCAAGGGCTTGGATAAACAGTAGGCAAGGAAACGCGGCTTGTCTGGCGATATCAATAGCGTGTCTGTTAGATCCCGCCAAACGGTTTGGTGAAGGACAAAAGTTCGAGGTCTTTCGATGAAGGTGTCGGACGGAAAGAAAAGGGGACATTCTGGGGTCAACCACTGAAATGAAGAGATTAGTTACCTAGAATAGAAATGACTGGGAACCTAATTTCGCATCGATGATCGTGGCTCATAACTTCCAGGCCGGGGCACCCGAAACGTGGGACGCGAGTCAATCAATGACGCCATGCAACTGTCGAAAATGAGAGAAAATGGTCAGGACGCGCAGTATTTGTGTCTCGCACGCGACTCTTTGTTTTCTGCGAGCCTGTGACAAATGTGAAGCAACTGACTTACTGAATACCTATAGATTTGCTGTAAAGAGCACTCTTAGTATACGACCAAGTGTAGATTTCTTTTTCAGCAACTTATCATTGGACGAAGCATCGAGCGATAGCTGAATAATCGTCTAATTATTCTTCCAATTTTCCATTTTCTTTTTTTTTTTTTTTTTTTTTTTTTTTTTTTTTTTTTTTGGTAGAGCTTTGGGGTTAAATGTGGAGTCGTTTATTTACACTACAATCGGACCCATCGTAGATTTCACGCTAAGCCTTTTCTACCCTAGCACTTGGCCTTGTATGTATGTACGTACAAACCCTTACTCTGTATCGTTCTCGGCTTTCCGAACCGGCATACAGTACAGCGTTAGGTACCTGAGTACGCCATACAAGAGGATTTTGGTTAACTTGACATACAACGCCTCTATATGCCGTCAGAACGTAGCTAAAAAAGAAGCGAAAAAAGTATGAACCATGGTTGAGGCTCTCCGCTGCCCCAACTGTGAAAAAATAGCCTTACCACAAACGGTCATATTGTCTTGCAGGTTCTGACTTTTAGCGTTTCTGCTTAGTAGTCGTTATCAATCAGCAGGCCCTTCATTCGCTGTCGAGTATATTAAAGGCTCACACCCTGCATGGGTTTCCCACTTTGTGAGAAACGATTACCATGCGATATGTTGGATGTAAATGCCTCAATTGCTGAAGTGCGTCGGCTATTATAGGGCACACTACCGTATAGTCGAAGTGTCCTTCGGAGCGGGAGCAATATTGATACATGGCTGCATGCGTTATGACACGGAGATTGGAGGTTAAAGTAATAGTTCGATCACTTGATCAACTACGGATATGCGGCTTATACGAGCAGAGTGGCAATTGCATGGATTCGCTTTGTTTCGACCAAAGGCTTGCCGCATGATTCTTGGTGGTGGCACAAGTGTGTTTCGTCCACCACCATAAAAAGAATGCTGACTTAAGAACTGTCAGAAGAGACCAAAGTGGATCCACATAGTACCACTGTGATTTTGCAAATATTATTGGTCTCTACGCTCGGTAGAACCATGACTGGAGATAATAAAAGGGAATTAAAATGAAACGACGAGGATAAGAGAGACAAAAGAAAAGAAAAATCGGGGAACCTTCTGCATTTGCCAGATCTACATATACTCTCGATGCACACAGCCAAGGTGTACAATAGTAGATACATCAAAGGATGTGCAGCCATGGGCGTATAGAATAATTATTTGCAGAGTATTGAACATCTCTCGACTCATCCAATGCCAGGATATGGATCAGATCAGCGACCAGAGATCAATCGTGAGCTATTTTGGACCAATATGCGACGGGAATCTGATACATGGACCAATTCTATGAAGTTCTTCAGGTTTTCCAGAACACCGCTTGTTGACAGGTTTTTTCTTACCAGCTTTCGCCCTACCAGGCCCACATCATCCCATATTCCCATACCGACATATCCAAATTCGCTTAGTATGAGAATCGCAGCCGCTACTTCCGGCTACCGCCGTTTTGTGCGTACTGTATGTACAAATGTGGCCAACGTTGAAGTAATCGTGAACCATTCGTTCTCGTAGGTGGACCAAACTGTCGGAGTTGCGGGGCTGCAGATTGACTTTTCCTGCCAGTATGAAAATGCTGCTTAATTAACCCTGAACGACTGCCATTTGGTAGAAATTTACGTCTCTCTGTCTCCTGTCTCTAGGCAACCGAACGAACGCAGGCAAGGATGATCTTTTATGTATGTCCCTTCTGATGCCTGGCGGTCCATCATGTTCGGTTTCCAAGGTGGCAAGGTGAGTGGGCGGAAGTAGTATCCTTTGCTACTGTATTTTTCGAGATCCGCAGTGGGTTGGCACAAAATTTCAGCGTCCCGATTGCGGTGTGTTTTTATGGCGCAGTGAACTAGGATTTTCGATAGAATAGAGACAAAAAAAAAAAAGAGTAATATTTGCAAACGCTATATTACAGACTGGCCTACAGAGTACTATTGTCATACCGCCACTGCGTTTTCAGCCTAGTCTTTTGGGTCATGTTAAACGGGAGGATTCGATGATACATCAAGAAGTCTGGTTGTATTATCGTTTACCACGTACAGATACAGCAGACCAGAGCATATATATTACATAAAATAAAGGGTTACAATTCTTCAATTAATTCCAAGGCAAACAGTGATATACGCCTGAAAGTATGCAATAGTTCTGCGCCGAGTAAGTTGGGTCCGTTGTTGCACCAACATCATTAATCCATAATCTATAATCGTATTACCATTTTGGGTAACAGCAAGTATGCACCTGGGTTGTTGGGACCATCCTGAGCGATTTGAGTATAGGCGGACGATGCATGGGACCGTGCAAGGACAACGACAAGTTAAAGTAGGCGAACGACGAGAGAAAGCGATGAATATAAGGTCTGCAGGTACACAGCAAGGGGAGGTCTATAATTATCTCGGAAAGGCACCTCGAGCATCCGCGCAAGTAGCCAAGTCACCTTGAAATTGAGATATGCAGATATACTTCCCGTAGGATGTCGGCAGTATAATATGTATCTGTTCCCAACGGACCCCCTTTGATCTATCTGTAGCGGAATTGCCACCCTCAGCTTTCCCAAAGGAGGCGTAATCGAGCATATTCGTCGGCGAAGTAGTAATCGATACACGGGGCGGCAATGCCACTTTTCGCTAATTTAGGCAAGGACACCACTACGCCCCTAGTCGTTACCCCATGTTTTGAAGGCTGTCCATCACAATAATGACCAAGAGATTAATATAACTACAGGAAGACTTCAACCTAACTTCTACTAACGGAAGGTCGTAAACGACAAGCTGCGCCTCCCCACCCCCTTTTAAGCTCTGTCTGTGTCACAATGGCCTGATATTTTACTAGGAGACAAGTTCGAACTTAAGTTGCGCTGACAATATTACATAAGTACTTCAATTGCTTGGTAACTAGTGAGTTACAGACATGAGTGAATTATGGATACGAGTTTCCAACCTGCCATCGCCCTAAGAATTTGAGGTCTTAGGATAATCATCCCTGTTAGCAAGTGCCCCTTTTACCCCTGTATTATATGATTCATTGTACTCCGTACCTGAGTATCTGATGCAGTCGGTAAGTCAGTGAACATTAACTAGTTAGGTAGTTAAAGCGATATCCCTGGCTTAAGTAATTGGGTTAACTAACTATGACGGGTTAATATTGCGACCTTAAGGGGTTGTACTGGGGACGACGGATTTGGATAGCGGACGCTCGGAAGAATGGAGTAGGGCGATTATCAGCACCACACGCAATCGTGCATATCACGAAAGACGGCTGTCCCGTTTTCAATAGTCTACTTAGATCGTACCACGGATTGATCCCTCGATTTTGTCGGAAGAGATGCACATGCTTTCCGAGGATCGAGCCGATACAACGCCAAGTAGAGAGTGGAAATGATCGCCTCAAAATGCAAGCTAGGATATGGCCGTTCCAAGTTGAACAATGAGCTCCGGTGCAGGGATAGAATAGCCACCTTATTGCATAATGAGACTCCCAGTTACAGAAGTAATGCATCTTGATGTGGGGGAAATGAACTTAAACTACTTCCAGCCACCTCAGCCACTGCCAATTTATGAAGGAAGGCATGTATGTATATGTCGATGTATGCGAGGGTGGATACTATAGTCTTTGTCCGAACGATGGAGACGACCTACGAACTGAGGCCGGAGATCATATCCAGCCCAGAATATGAAAGCTTCCCGAGGAAGCTACGGAGTAGAGTCATTAGAATGCTACTTGAGATTGAAGGTCGGTAACATGGACAGATACAGTCTGAATTGGATAAGGCGGGCCTTGGATAATGGAGCACCCCCAGCCAGTCGATTGCGCCCCTTGCTTTGTTTGCACCGTCTCACAGTGTCTGTGTATAAAGCTGCATCCATAGTCAAATCTAACCAGCTTTTTTGGTGTTAGCGATGAAAGAAGGGGTAGCACAACGCCGTTAATTGGAGAAATCTTTTGCCATTGACTGGATGATAGGTGTCCAGAATTATAACTTTGACTAGACCTTGCTGAACTGAGCGTCTCCGGATATGTTGCATGGTAGCAGATAGACTGCGTGTCACCAACGGCAGGACGCATATAGCTTCCGTGGAATATACGTGGACTAGTAGTCATGCCGTCTGCGATCGCGAGGATCCGATGACGATGGTGAGGTGACAGTATATCTCCCCGGACAATCGATGGTTAAGCCATGTGTCCCGTAGAAAAAGTACCAATTCCCCGCAAGTTGTACAAATGCGTCGGAAGTAAAACAATTTTTTTTGATGAGATCGTCCACCTGTTACGACAGTGTGGGTAGCCCCTCCTTTCTGTTGGGTTTCCATTCACAATGGAGCATCAATGACGAGATGGACATGTGTTGAAGAACTGCACGTCAAAAACGCGAACAATAGATGAAGAAAAGCCCTACCAATCAGTAAAGAGGATCCCGTGTAGCGGATTCATGTAATTAGGTTCAAAGGTCGAGATCAACCGAATATCGCGTCGCTCCGGCGTGTCGTGTTCATACATAGTTCGGTAGTAAAAGTTTGACATATGACTTTCTCCACGGTAAATCATGGTTGAGACTCCTGGTGTGTCAAAAACTCCAGTCGACTGGTCGAGGGATGTACATACATAAGCTCGGGAGAGGGGCGTCGAAGATGGCATTGACTGGTCGTGAATGGCTGCAGGAGACACGCGATGGAGCGGACAAGAAGTCAGGGTTGAGCCAGTCAGCAGTCTATGACGGCGAGACGCGACCGCTTCCATGTATGTATGTATGTATGTATGTGTTATGTAGTATCATACCTCTACCGAAGTGCGCCGTAAAATGCGAACCACTCATTGATGGTTATTTACAGACCGTCAGCAGCTGAAAACTAAAGTCGGTTACTCCGCAATTTGTGGGTAGTCGTCAAATAGCATTACGATTCTTGAATATGCTAGGAAGAGGCTAGTAGTCTAGGGTTATCCAGCACCAGAGAAATCAAAATATCAAATGAGAAAAGTGACTTCATCATACGCTCAATAGCCGGTAATAAATGGCATGGATCTATCCATCGCTGTACTGTACTCCGTACTTTTGTATATATACAGAGAGATATCTTTCTCTAATGGAAGAGAAAGGAGTAAAAATAATCACTCGTTATTTTCTGCTGCAGACCGCAATGTGAAATGCTGGCTTACCTACAGTAGTGTAGTTTTCAGTGACGCAGCGTACACATTATGACCCAAGGATGTAAGTCAATAATGGAAAGTGTTAAAAAAAATTAGTGGTCACTGAGCCAAGGACCCGAGGTGTTCCTGGAGGGAGTCAATGGCTGGTGAGGACTGGTCGGTGACGACGGAGATCACCCCACCGAGAAGCCCACCGAAGGAGCGCTGGTGCTGGACGCCGTGCAGGTTAGAGAGTTTAGATGCAGCCTTCAAGAGCGAAAATAAAATAAAATCAAATAAAATGGTAATAAAAATCAAATAATCAACTAATAACTATATCCTGTATAGATAAACAAAGGCTAGCCATTGAATGTATATTAGAAGATATTAAAGGGAATACGACCGTCAGCAAGCATTGCAACGTAGGATATGTATTTCTCAAGCTGGAATCTAGGGCTCAATGGGTCTTGAAAGTCAATGATTGTTATACCTTGATACGGAAAGTCTGGCTCCTTGGAAAGAAGAACGACACAGAAAGCCGGAGATAATTAGTAGAAAGTAACCTTGTACCGTGTACGGCCGGTCAGTCAGTAATAGGTACCAGGTACCTTACTAAACGGCCGGAATTACGTACCTGGTCGTATCAATGGTATTAACTTTCGCCCTTCAGTAAGGGCTCCCCTCGATCCTGTATGGGCCTAGGCAGACTTCCCTCCTAAGGACTCCGTACTATTATAATGCTCAATGCGATATTCTGCAAATCAGGACTAACTAGTAGTATGGCGACCGACCTCATTACGACTATTGTTGCGCCGCTGAGGATTGATGGAACTCCTATTCTCGAATTCAAACCTGTGTCCTGTATCATCCAGTAATTCAGTCTAGCCCCCTCCGCCCTCCATACCCTTTGATTGTGCCACTGGTGGTTGGAAATGTAGGCATGAGACAAGGCAAGGCGTCGTTTTGTCAAATCATTCAATTGTTTCACAAAGCACTGGGTATGGCATTCTTTTTTTTTTTTTCCCCCTACAGTTCTAGGAGGCGCAAAGTAGGGTCCGTTCGTAGAACTCTCAGCCAACGCTGGTCGGCGAGGTGAGGTATAATTGAGACGGCGCTGAAACAAGGACCGAACCATACGCTTACCCGATACCTTTCAAACTACTATTACTACTAATTAATACTGGGAATACTAAACACGATCCTCAATACGGGAAAAGCGTCACACTTTACCATACGGTGTGGGCAGAGGTAACCTGCAGCGACTCTCGAGACTTCTATCTCCGACTCTGTCCCCATTTCTGATTCTCTCTCTTCTTTTCTTTTCCTCTACTACACCCGCCTGGAGAGAGATCACTCCTCCTCATTTTTTCTCTCCTCCTTCTATCTTCGCCTCTCTCCCTTTCCTCCTTCCCCCCCCTCCTCCTTTTTCTAGCCTCCCGCCAATTCTTGGAGAGATCTGAGACTGGTCTGCCGGCAAGGATACCGTTGACGGAATTGTCTATATCTGTTGACCCCATCTTCAGCCTGTTGCACTAGCTCTCCAGTCGAGCCGTGTCCGTCAGCTTCTTTGCTTCGACGTCCTCCTCTTTCGACGTTTGTTAGCTCAAACGGCGATTCCCCTGACCGCCGGTGTCCGATCCGTGACGTCGACGTTGAGATCCCCTGATCTAGCTTCTGCCGGTTAGAAGAACGACCAAGAAGGGCTTTTTTTTTCCATCTTTCTTCGTCTCCTTTTCTGTCATAAGCGTTTTTTTGTGTATATGATTTGTATTTTGTGGTGATTTCTTTGGAGGTGAGAGAATTTTCATTTCCCCCCTTACCCTGGTGAAGCACCATTCCCCCATTCCCGCGTCAATTGTGTGTGTCTGGGACAAGACTAGAATGATATCTGCATGTGTCGTTGGTCTTTTATCGATATGAATCCGGTAAAAATTCACTGTGTGAATACGCCCAATGTGTTGGTGAATGCCAATGGTTCAAAACCGACAATTGCATAAGAAATCTGAATCGGTTGCAACCTTCAACACCTCCGAAACGTCATGCTCTCCTCTGGAGCAATTGGCCTCCTGCATATGGATTTCAACAATTCCTCACGATTAGACAATGGATAGATCGGGGCAGGTCGGCGACCGGTTGAGAGAACCTTGGATAATAAGAATTGGCTGGAACGATGGGTTCTCGTGAGGTTGGAAGATTAGGGTGCTTTCCAAACGCGGGTCCTTCGTTCTGGATGGAGTTTATCTCATCAGCCGTTCATATAATCTGCAAGAGGGGCTCGCATTCTTGAACGCTGAGGTGGTTCAAGGGGTCTTGAGGTGCTCTGGAGGGCATGGAAACTGTCAAGAGCGGGCATACTTCGGCTCCTACTCCAACCTATGACATGCCCAAGCCACAATATTACCACACAATTGAAGTCTTGTGCACAATTCAAATAAGGGATTCGGAAAGACAAAACGTCTGGAAAGGACTCAGTGGCTGACATGACTTCTTCCGGCTCCAGGAGACCGATTTTGATCTTCCCCCGATACCTTTTCGCTTCAACTTGACCTCACTCCCTTAACTGTGGAACTGGTCATTGAACGCTCCGTTTGCATTATCTCGGCCGTGTACAAGACACCATTCATACACCGGAGAGCAAACTGTACGTCGTAACATTCTTGTTGCATTCTGACTTCCCCTGACGATCTCCCTATCCCTACATAGGGCTCGTGCCTGTACTCCCCTTCCGCATTCCGGAGTACCCCAATAAGCTTGCAACCAAGCGCCGGTTCCTAGGGTGAAGACGTTCAGTCGTCCTTCGCCTTTCGAACTGGTATTCTACAGTCCACAGGTGACAGATCATCTCGTCTTGTCCCAGCCTAGATGCCAGACTCGCCGTCACGGTAAGGGTTGCACCGTGCCCTCTGCCCGAAGGCTTTAATCTGGGTTAGTACTCTTATCCCCGGGTATCCCCCTTATCACCTCCCAAGACTCTTTTGACTTTTACCTTCCTTCATCAACCTTCCTTAACCTTTCATCTTTGCTTCATCCACCTCTCCTTTCTCAATTTCTTTCTCTTTGTCCTTTGATTTTTGCAGCCTGTCATTCTCTCAAGGCTTTAAACTTTTTTAATATCTAATAATAATTTTACTAACAGTCTCTCCTTTAGCTCCGGCCACGAAAGGCTTCAACTAGTTGTCCGGCTCCCTTGCTCCTTTCCAATATTCAGGCTTATCGTCTTTGCACTGGTCCTTAATATTCCCAACTAATTCCGCTCATTAATTCGAAATAATCTGGCGACTGTCATTCTCTCAATTCCGTCGTTTCCTGATAGACTCGCTCTGATCAGGTCCACTCTTTTTAATAATATCACCGTCGAGATCGACATAATTCGACATCATGGCCTACCACAAGCGTCCTACGTCCAGCTATCAGCCTTGCGAAACTTTCTTTGTGGAATCGTACGAGGACTTCCCGGCGCCCCGTATGGATCCAAAGGAGCACGCGAAATTGATTGCTCGCGAGCGCCAGTATGCCATTGCGGATGAGCTGTCCAAAGTTGCCAGCGATGAGTTCCGTGATGATATTCTGTCTCACATGCTGGACATGGATGTTGGTGACCATATACTCTAATTAACCCGAGTCACTCTGAGCTAATAATATCTTCATCTCAGGCATCTACCCTCCCTGATGTTGAATCGATCGATATCCAAACGGAGATTCAGTGGTTTATGCGCCCTTACTTGCTCGACTTCTTAATCGAAGCCCACACTGCCTTCCAGCTGTTACCATCGACCCTCTTTTTGACAATCAATCTCCTCGATAGATACTGCTCAAAGCGTGTGGTCTACAAGAGGCATTATCAACTGGTTGGGTGTGCGGCCTTGCTTATCGCAGCAAAATATGGTGACAAGAAGGATCGCGTGCCCACCATCAAGGAACTGAAGTCTATGTGTTGCTCCCTGTATGATGACGACATGTTCACACAGATGGAGTGGCATGTCCTGCAGACTTTGGGTTGGACGATTGGACACCCAACTGTGGACAGCTTCCTTCAGATGGCTGTCATAGACACATCATACGACCCGGAGGTCGAACACATGGCATTGTACATCTCGGAGATTTCTCTATTTCACAGAGAGTTTGTGTCCAAGCCATCCTCTGATCTTGCTAGAGCTTCATTAGCTCTTGCGCGGTGTATCCTTAACAGACCACAGCCACGCCACACCGAGTGGGCTTCACAATATGATTCGATGACGTTGGTGGGCTTGTCTCAGCAGCTTCATCAGCCTTCACAAATTTTGTTCCGGAAGTATTCGTCGGCTCATTTCTCCAGGGTGTCGAAGATTCTAGAGCAGTTCCTGGCTCGTCAAGCCTCGGCCGCTAGTTACACCCCAGCAAGTCCACCCTCAGACGTCAACGTCGAGTCCAAACCATACGACGGTGAGATTGGACTTGCTACTCCGCAGAAGGCTCCCCATCCGTCGAACATGCCACACGGTTATATCACGCCGCCAATTACACCCGAAAACGATGCCTTTGTCAATGGGGGGAACACTACCTTCGTGAAAGGGGTCGCAGGGACGAGCGCTTGCTCTCCCTCCCCTACGCCACCACCGAGCATGCAATATGTGGACTCTCGTGTATATCAAGAGGCCACGTTCACCCAGGGGCAGCAATTCCTTCAGCCACAAATGTCATTCACCACTAGCTACTGAATGCAACAAATCAGTTGAGGGTGCTTTCAGTCAATAGTGTATCAGTACATCAGTGGATAACAACATCGGTACATTTGGTTCATGCATAAGTGCTCGATCTGGTTTATGTCTATCATTGATATTCTCAATGCTCGACCGATCACCTATGTGGTCGAAACTTTGTTCTCTTTTTGCATTTTCGTTTTTCTAAAGGGCATACCCATTTTCTTGTGTTTTCATCCCTTGGGAGTTCCAAGTTGCATCTCATTCTTATATCTAGCATTGCAAGCGCGAGCCGTTCGAGTCTTAAATTGCATTTGCCTGTTTACATTTTTTTATTGAATCATTTCCTATTTCATTTGTGTGATCTTTCTTTCTCAGCCTTGTTGGAGTTCTATCCCATTCAGCGGCACCCAGGTGGCAGTTTGTGCTTGCTGACCTGAGGACTCTATATTTGACTCCCTTTGACCGAACTTCCCCCATCCTACTCAAATACATACACTAATGTGGCATAACCTCTCACCTCCCATGAAATATACACTTCTTTTTTCTTTCACAGGCAGAGAACTACGCTGTCTGCACCATTCGGAATCTTGGCTGATGGAGAGAGGTCCCCTCCAAAACAAAAAAAGCAGAAAAAGACCGAAACCAAAAAAGACAAAAAAAAAAAAAGCAAAAGCAAAAGCGCCTGAGAAAAAAAATCTTCCACGCAAAAGCTGCGAGGTAAAAAGTGTTGACATAGCTTTTGTTACCCCTAATGATTTGGACAGCGAGAAGGTATTTGGACAGGTGGATGGACTTGAGCGTTTCCGTGTCAGGTTGGACACATTTACCTCTCTGCTTTCTCTAGATTTCCTCTTCTTTGTTTCTACTTGGAACCCTACCCTTTTTTTTGTGGCTCCCAACAAACCACACGGGAGTGTCTTATTTTGGTGGATGAGCTGAGATGAGATGAGCATAGTATACTACTGCGATGAGAAGATCGTGGTAGAATTCAATACATGATACCTTATGAACAACTGCTCCTGTGTAGGATGATTCGTCTATCTTCGATGAAGTACGAGATTAGTATCACGATTTCGATTGCATTCTGCAGAGTAGCAGGGGCCCTTTCATTCCCTCCATCGACTGAGATCTACTCTTGCTCATCCTTCCCGGGTAAGTATTCCGGCGTTTGATTAATGGCTCTCCCTCCCTCCCCCCCTTTACTGGGTCCCAAGGCATGTACGTATGTCCCCTTTGTCACCCTGCCATTCCTGGTCTGAAATGTACTCCCAGTCCTACGCCCTGGAAGTCCTTAGGGCACCGCGCACTTTCTTGTCCGGCAGTTACTTGAAAATTGCCCCATTCCTCAATTACTCGACCCCATACTGAACAGGAAGTAATCAAGCAAGAAGCGAAGTTCAGATAATTATAATATATTATTATATCCGAAATTACTAACTATACAAGCATAGTTGCTGTCAATAGATATCACTAATTGCACAGAGATATAATCAAGGATAATGTAGTCCTTCCATCCAAAACCAAAAAAAAAAGAGAGAGCAAGCCATCCAGTCATGTCGGGCGTAAGATGAGAATCCAGTGAGCGAGTTGAATTGGAATCCAGTCCAATGCCCAGCATCGAGAAAGAATCCAGGAGAGTGAGTGACATGACATGACCTGATGATGTGTACCCAATGAAAAAAATAAGAATGGTGATATAGCCAACCACCTGAGATTATTCCCTAATCTCCCCACGCTATGCGGAACGCCGGATCTGGATCGATCAATAGTAGCCAAAAAGGAAAGCAGAAAAAGATAAAAAAAAAAAAAAAAAAAAAAAAAAAAAAAAAAAAAAAAAAAAAAAAAACAGGGTAATATACACGTGTTGTAATGAAGGGAAGAAAGGGGATCAGAACTGGCTCATGGTGTCGGGGGGGCCCAACCACCAAGTAGGTACACCGCTTGCTGAAGAAGTCTAATGGACTTCGCTCGGGCGGTGATTGCATGGTGAGATGCAAGGGTGCTGGTACCTTGAAGCTTCAATGGAAGGGCGACGACAACAGAGTTCATGCCAGTTCCGGGGGAATGTATCATGTGCTTTGAAGCATAGGGTGAAGTGGGTAAGGGATAAAAGGCGCACAAGGAAAGGGCAATAAAGAAGAAGGCAAAAACAAACAAACGACAACCCAAACTCGTAAAAGTACAGTGGCATCAGGAATATGTATGTATACAAGGGCATGGATGTATGAATCCGGGGATCCCAACAGGGGGGACCTCAATGAATGAACGGTCAACCACGGGAGGGAACTAGCATCAGGGGCGGTCCAGAATGTAGAGCGAGAGAGCGTATCCGCCGATTGCCGGTCTCGAACGAGAGACGCGGAAGACGAGAGAAACGAGAAAGTTGCGCTGCCGATCGCTCGCCTCACTTTGGGAAAGCCGCGCGGATAATCAGCTGACTAAGAGCCCGTCTCACACCCGCTGGCCAGCAGCAGGTGACCGGAACCCAAACGCTGGCACCGTTCGTGTGTTTACTTCCACCGCTGCTTGTCCCAATCGGATGGTCTTGTTTCGTCGTATATTTGTCCCCCCTGGTTATGAACGACGACGGGAGGTTGCGTTCGGCGTGGACCGGTGTTGGACCCTATGACACCAGAGCGGTTCCGTTAGTGACAGCCCTAGTGCAAGTTGGAGATACGGCCGGGGTGCAGAACGGGGACCATCATGTATAGGAAGGGTCCAAGTAGTACTACATACCTCGCAGGTCTGTGACAACCACCCGGTCACCGCTACTGCCAGTGCTGGCCAAAGTAGAATTGGACTGGTTGACCTTGTGAGGCATGATGATGGTGGTGATGGTGGTGGTGGTGGAAAGATGTGTTATTATTGTTTGGAAAGTAGAGCGGATGGATTGTCGCGAAGGGAGTAGAGTAGATAAGAGGTTTGATATGATATGGATTACTCGAGGTAGAGAGAAGAGGGCGATAGAGGACGTATATAAGGTAAGGCCAGTGGCGGAGCAAGGCAAAGTCTAGAAGCCCAGGCAATCGTAGGCAGAACAATGAGGTCAGGAGGATGAAGGAGGTGTGAGAGATGATTGATTGTTTGTCACAGAAGAGTCTTTGAAGCTTGATTGATTGTCTAATGGTTTGAAGTGGGTTATGGGGAGCGGACGAGGGTGGCCTTTTGTAGGTTTCCTACAAGTATGGGGAAGTATGGGAGAATCTATCCGAAAGGGAATAGATTCGATCATCTTGGGAATTTTAGCTTCGAAAACTAGACCCAAAATTAAAAATAAATAAATCAAAAATCAAAAATCAAAATAAAATAACAAAAAAAGGCAGACAGAGAGAGACAGGAAAAGGCACAGAACAGATCCAGAAAATGAAACTAAACTAGTCATAGGGGGGCCCGCGAGAGATCGGTCATCTTGCAGTGATTCGAACGACTATACCAAGAACAGGCGATGATGTGGATAGCATATTGGATGATGGGACCACTTCCAACGAGGGACGTCATCTCTCTCCCCCAATAATGCAATGAGAAATGGGAAATCAAAAAAAAAAAAAAAAAAAGATAATACTGCTCCCTCATAATAACATAACCTTCGACGCGAAGCAGACCAAGGTTCTGGAATCTGGGATCAGAAAAGGGTCCAAAGTGAAAGTTCCCTTCATTGACTTTGGGACTCCACCGCCTCTCTTTTTGCGTTGACTGCCAGGGGCAGAAAAATACATCCCAAAATAAAATCAATTAAAATAAATCAATTAAATTTAGTTCGAAAAGACGAGGCGGCGAACCGGAGAGCCCTGACACCCGTCCCTGATTGGCCACTACCGACGCATCGTCGACGGGATGCTCGTAGGGATGATGGTCAATGATTATCTTCAGTTAATCAATCCATCAATCGATGACAGCCCTCGGTTTGGTCCGACTTGCCAGTTCGCTGCCTCCTACTACAATCTCCTCTGCCTGACTGTGACCCAGGCACAGAAAAATGACGGCACAATGGCTCCAGCCACACGCCGGGGTCAGGGCTTGTCAGCGCCTGATGAGGCTGATTCAGGAACTAAAACCGAACTCTTCATCATCGCCCTGATGTGGCGGTGGCAGGATGAGACGGGGAGCCAACTGGTCCAGAACAATAGTTGTAGCTTCGCTTGGAAGATCCTAATGAGATAGATGCCTAGAAGGAGAGATGATCCGTCGTCATTTCTGCCTCAGTTTCATCCACGCCAGTCCATGTGTCCAGAATGAATGATGCGTTGGTTGTATTTTACGCCCTGGAACCGGGAGGCCCGTTTCCTATTGGCCCGTAGACCTCCGGGTGGTTAATTTACAGCTTCGTGTACAGGTCAATCACCTGATTGCTATTTATATGGACATTCCTCACGACCACACCGATTGTTATCCACATAACATACATCATTACTTGGATAAGTACTGGAGAAGTGACTTTGAAGCATCACTTTCCGCACCATTTCGGAGCATCCCTCTCCCCCCTACTCAAAGGCGAAGGTACCTTCCATAAGCTGTAACTCTAAATATGGTAGATCCCAACCGGGTTTAGCGCTTCTGGAACTCAGCTATGGGTACAAACGTACAAACTAAGCAAACGATACCCATGGTACTACGCGGAATTAAGTAAACACCTCAACCTTTTTCCACCCCGTACTAGGTAAGGTACTAAATGAGCTCAAGTGGAATCCATCCACTTCGTCTATTCCCCCCTTCGAGCGAGCTTCAGGTAGCTCCGACGGCATCAGGTCGGGTGCCGGTACTTACCACTACCTACGTAATACATCCCATACTTCCACACCCAGCATACGTGCATGTCTGGTCTGGCTCGCTCACAAACTACTAAGCAACCATTGCAGACGCCATATGCCACTTCATCACCCGCCAACAAAACACGGGGTAGTTTAATCCGTCCAGAGCGAACTGGAGAAAGACCTCCCCGTTAATTGAGACGCGAGCTAACCCCAATTCGTTTGCCTTACAAGTACGTACGGTTGGATGAAGTGCCAACTGTCCGAAGTACGGAGGGAGGAGGTATTGTTACTCTCGCCCTAAAAAAGTTTAGACCCCAATACCAGCTCACTAAACTAGCCCAGCTCGGGTTAGCCTACCTTCTTCTCTCAACCAGAAACAAGACGCAGAACACTCCAAGGCCCCGTCACTCAATATCATACTACTACTAGTAGTAGTACTTTCGTTACCCCGGAGGACTTGCAGATGTACAATACCAGCTAGTCCCCAAATAATTGCGCAAAAATGAAGGTCAACCGCCATACCTATCATGCGGTGTACGGATGACAGTCTCCGTAAACTACTATAAGCTAGTCGACTAGTAGAGCACCACCGGAAATGGAAGAAGATAAGGGCCTAGTCTAGTCTCGTTCTAGCCTGGATTGAGTCTTCGGGATGGGAAAAATGATGGGGAATGGATCCCTATCAGCTGATCGCTTCGTTTTCTTTATTGGGGCTCGTATTGAACCATTATTGTGAGTTTCACCGCTAGAATCGCTGCATTATTGCTGCTCTCCCTCTCACTCCCTCTCTCGATTTTGCTCGGGATTTCTCCCTTTGGGGGGCAGAGGGAGGGGTTGGTAATGATCATCGGAGAGTCAGTCGGGGTTTCCATGTTGAGGGGGTTCTGCTCGATACCATGGCACGACGGGCATTCCTGGAGTGGTGCCAAGTGTACCCATCTCGCTGTACGTAAGTTGATACTACGGTTTTGTTGGTCGGGATACTTACTGTAAACTATTCCATACACTCCGTACTCATCTTACATAATGAATGATTTGTTCGGCTTAGTCAGGAGCTGAGTCCCATGGATTGAACCACCACTGGGTCGAGGTATCTGTATATCGAGAGGTTTAGGCAGTAACCCAGGCATTAATACATTCATGATGGTAGAAATCAAATAAAAGAAAGAAGAAAAAAAAAGTACGATACGTGAAACACGAAGCCCGAACGCTGTAGTGAGGCACTCAATCACATCGACCTTGACGCCCAAACACCTAACCGGTGATACTGCCAGATAAGAGGTTCCCAGTCCATAGCAACCAATCTGCATCTACGGACAAACCATCACGGCCGTTGATTGCCTG